AGCCACGGGCCCGAGCACACCCCAGCAACCCACAGGCAGCAGGGCCAGACCCCAGGAGCTGCCATCACCGCCCTGACTTCTCCCGTGACATCCCCCATGGCAGGAACCTGGGGGCAGAAGGGGCTCAAACTGGCCACCAGCAGCCAAATCCAACCCACAGCCATTTTGCCTTTTTTTTTTTTTTAATAAATTTATCATTAACATTTAAAGAGCAGGAGACCTAACATCAAAATCCCCATTTCGGGCCTCCCCAGTGGCGCAGCGGTTGAGCGCTGGGTTGCGAAGCTGACTGCAGCCTCTGCAGCCGGTTCGATCCCCGGCTGCTCCCCGGCCACCGGAGGAGGGTCCCACATGGCGCGCAGACCTCTCCTGCCGCCCGCTGCTCCCCTCAGCAGTGTACTTCGGTCCTTCTGCCTGCTCTGCTCCCCGCTCTGGCTCTGGTGAATTCTCTCACCCTCCCATGCTTCTGACTGTACCCAGTGCATGTATAAACCAAACAAACAAACAAATAATAAATAAATAAATAAATAAGACATGCCTCTAGAAAATTAAAAAAAAAAAAAAATCCCCATTTCCAGCTTCTCTTAAAACCCAAAGCTGTAGGCTGGGCCCACGAGAAGGCAAGTGGTGGGCAGCAGCCAGGTGGGGGCTGCAGAGGGAACACACTTGACTTTCTGGGAACACACAGCCCCCCACCCCCAGGCTACTCCCCAAATGCCTCCTCTTGGTCTCTGCAGCCTTGTCTTAGCCCCATGTTCAGGCCCGCAGGGAGCCCCCGCCACTTCGTTGCTGAGAGGGGTGAAGGTGTCCTCAGAGGCCAAGGAGTCGGCCAGCGGGCAGGGAAGGAGGCTGAAGAGCGCAGCAGCAGGGCATTCAGGGAGGCTGGCTCATGGAGGCTACAGGTGGGTGCCTGTGCCGCTCTCTGCCCTCCTGGCTGCGGCACTGCTGCACCCCCTCCAAACCTTGGTCTAGATAACAGGGCAATGGCCCTTCTCTCTGGGTGTTCTGGGCCTCCCGTCCCCACTCTGGCCTCCCCAGTGCGTGGAAATGAATCAGACTCAGACTCCTCTTAGCCCCACCAAGGGCTTGACCAGGCACCACCTCACAGATGGGAAACAGGCCCGAGAGGGCTCGGACCTCTCCAAAGCCCACTTCCTCCAAGACCACAGTGAACCAGTAAAACAGCTGGACGCAAGGTCAGATTCCCCCAACCCCAATGCCTGACATTTACCCCACCACGCCTCCTCTTTGAGGTTGTCTCTCCATATGCCAAATGGGATCCAAATTAGATCCCTGGGGGCTGCCAGGCCTGGGGTCTGGAATTTCGGAGTCCCGGGATCTGGAATTTTGGAGATCTGGGAGACTGAGACCGGGGAGCTGGCGGGTGAAACTTGCCTGTGTATATGCTGCCCCCATGTGGCCGTCTATGGGAGTGCCGGACTAACTGAAATGAATCCTATTGATTGGGGACCTACTGGGTGTCTCACTTTGGAATACAGAGAAGTCAGCACTGTGGGTACAATCAGTGCTCACAGATCAGGAACAGACCACTAAAAAAGGCACTCACTTTCACTTAGTCATTCATCAAATCATTGGCACCTGCTGTGGCTCAGGCCCTAGAGACACTCACAAACCAGGCAGAAGCAATACCTGTCCTCATGGAGCTGACAGTCCCCTTGGGAGGACAAGCGCTTGAGTAACCGATACATCGTGTTAGATGCTAGTAAGCACTACAGAGAAAAAATACAGGAGAGTGGGAGCTGGGAGATTTGGTCTTAGCTTTAGATTAACATAGTCAGGGAGACCTCATTAAGGTGGTAGTTGAGCAAGAACAAGAATGCAGTGAGGGATCAGGCCATGCAACTCTCTCTCTCATGGGTCAGCACGCCTGACCCATGTAGTTGCTGTGGGTGGAGCAGAGGGAGAGTTGAAGGGAACACACACACCCCACCCCCAGGCCATGTCACAAAGCGCTTTGTGGGCCACTGTCAAGTCAGTGGCTTTTGCTGGCCAGTGGGAGCCACTGAGCACTCTAAGTGAGGAGGGGCAGGACCTCACTTAGATTCCGCAGAAGCCCTCTGGCCACGTGTAGAAGATGGATGACTACACAGGAGGTAAGGGCAGCCAGCGGGCTCCACCAGGGTGGTGGCTGAATTGGTGAGAAGTGGTCAGGTTCTGAATCTGTTTTGAAAGGATCTGCCAACAGACCCAATTATATGGCCAGAGCGGTCATGCATGCGCCACTCCATCAGCAATAACCGGCCAAGGTGAACGATCTCACAAGCACTGGCAACAAGGAAAAATGTGATAAATTGGCCTGCAGTAAAATTTAAAACTTCCGGGACCTCCCTGGTAGCACAGCGGGTTGAGCACAGCGCTGTGAAGCTGTCCGCAGCTTCTGCAGTGCGGGTTCGATTCCCAATCTGCCAAGGGAGATTCCCACATGACGCAGCAGATCTCTCCTGTCGCGCCCGCTGCTCCCCTCAACAGTGCTTTTGGTCCATCTGCCTGTTCTGTTCCCCTCTCTGCCTCTGGTGAATCCTCTCACCCTCCCACATCTCTGGCCGGTACCCCAGCTCTTGTTTAAATAAATAAATCTTAAAAAAAAAATTTAAAACTTCAGGGCCTCAACAGACATAATCAACAGACCAGAAAGGCAGCCAGCCCACAGGACCGGGGAGGGTACTTCAGATCAGATCTCTGGTAAGGGGTGAAAATCCAGAATATATAAGAACTCGTACAACTCAACAACCAAAAATTGCCATTTAAAAATAGGCAAAGGACTTGAAAACACACTTCCTGAAGATCTAAGAAGAGCTAATGGGCTCCTGAGAAGGTGCTCATTGTCAGGAAGATGCAGGTCAAGGCCACGGGGAGATGCACTCACACCCACGGGAACGGTCACTACCAAGAAAAGCAGAAAATAGCACGAATTGGCAACGCTGTGGAGAAAATGAGACTTTCCAGGGTTAGTGGGATCGAAAAATGATGAAGCCACTGAGCAAACAGTGGCAGTTGCTCAAAAAATGAAGCGAAGAGGTACATGATGCAGCAAGTCCACACCTGGTTGTAAATCCAAAGAGCAGAAAGTGGCCCTCTGCTGGGAGCCCCCACAGGTCAGCCCCATCTGGGTCAGCCCCAATCATGCAGGTGGTGAGTAGGTGCTCAGTGACCAGGGAAAACAACACACTTGCCTCCCCCAGGACCAGTGTGGCCTCTCTGGTGTACTATCTAGATTGGCCACCAGGGGGCGATAGAGCAGGTCTCCACCCTCCACAGGTGCTGCGGCCCCGGGAAAGCACCTGCCGGCAGATTCTGGGAGGTCAGAGACCCCAGCACAGTGGGTACCAAGCCCAGATGCGAAGAGAAAGGTCCCATCCTTATGCTCACTCCTCTGCTTCAAACTCTGCTTCCCCCTCGACTCAGCTGCCTTCAGTTACAGGGGTGCCAGCCACTGAGAAATGCAGCAAACCGGATGAATCTCCAAAATCCTGCACGGAGTGAAAGACACAAGGAACATTTACAGGGCTGCCCCACGAGACAAAGGGAGGACACTCCTATTTGCTATGATTTAGGTTATTTGGGGAGGGTTGCGAAGGTTTTTTTTTTTCCTTTTGCCTTTTATACATGTATGCAGCCATCTAATATGGAAAAGCATCCCCAAGCCTCAAAAGCAACCTAACAAATCGCGCCAAATAGGAACATTCTACTTCAGAGAGCAGAGGAAATATGCACACAGAGCTCTAGAACGGGCAAAGGTAATCTATGATGGACAAGAGTGGACAGGAGGTTGCCTCGGAGAGGGGACTAACAGGGCAGAGGCAGGAGATACTTTTGGGGGTGATGGTAAATGTTCTGTATGCGTTTCGCAAGGCTGCCATCACAAAGTGCCACAAACCCAATAGCTTAAAGCAATGTAAAGTTACCCCTCACAGCTGTGGAGACCAGAAATCAGGCCATGCGCCCCCTGAAGTCTCTGGGGAAGAATCCCTCCTTGCCGCCTCCAGCTCAGGGCGGGTGCCAGCAGGCCTTGGCGCTGCCTGACCTGCCGCTGCCTCCCGGTCTCCTCTCCCCACCCCCCCGTGTCTCTACGTCCATTCTCCCTACTCTTATAAAGGAGCCCCTTGGAGTTAGAGCCCCTCCGGTCCAGAATGAGCTCACCTCACTTCCTTACCTCTGCAAGACCCTATTTCCAAGCAGGGCCACAGTCACAAGTATCAAGGCCCTGATCTCAGGTGCACCTTTCCGAGGGGCACAATTCAACCTACTGCTCTGCATCTTGGAGTCTGGATCACACAGGGAGAAGCATTTGTGGAAAATGATCAAAAGGACACCTGAGGTTTGTGTGTTTCTCTGAAAGTGAGTTTCTCCAACAGTGAAACAATTACTGGATCTAGCTAATGGGGTGTGATGATGGATTTGGGGGTAAGTCCTACCAGTATCTGCGGCTTTCTCTGCATTTATTTGCCCTCCGTGAGGGTCTTTCACTGGGAACAACCCCTCTGTCTTTACTCCACAATCTTGACCTTGATGCTGCTGAAGAGGATGGACTAGTTACTTCACAGACGGTCCCTCCCGTGGGTCTGCCTGAAGTCGCTCATGGTTGGACCAGGCTACGCACCCCTGTTAGGGACCCCAGGTAGTGGTGTGTCCTCGCAGGACTGTCCCCTTTACTGTGATGTCAATACTGGCCTCTCAGCAACGATGATATGGCAACTGTTCCACGACTGTTTTTCTCTTTGCAACGAGGAAGTATAGCGGGATATCTTTGAACTGTTTGTCCAATTCCTCCTCCAACTTTCACCCACCAATTTTAACATCCATCCTCAATCAGCTATCACGTGTATTAAGTGACCCCCCCAACTTAGCAGCTTAAAAGAAGCCTCATCCATGTGCTCAGTTTTTTTTTTTAAGATTCATTTATTTATTTATACAAAGACACGAATGAAATTCACTCTAGTGATAACTTTTACTTAATCCAAATAGCTAAAATCTTCTCATTTCAACAGGTACGCGGTATAAAAATTTAACAAGATATCTGCCATGTCTTGTCACGCTGGCGCTGAGATTCGGGGTGTACTGAACATTCAGGGTCCACTCCAGGTTGGACGAGCAAGGTCGGGGCTACTTCCCAGGGGGGCTCGCTCCTGCGGCCCCTACGGTCCCACCCTAAGGGCTCTTCCCAAGGCCCTTCAGTGACCTCACCACATGGACGCTGTCCTCCCCCAGAGAGTGACCACTGACAGCCTGTGACGCCTGATGCCTTTTATGACCTCACTTTCCAACACAGCGTCACTTCTGCCAGATTCCACCGCCTCGAACCGAATCACCGAGTCCAGCCCCAACTCCACTGCACCCCTTGAAGTGGGTCACAGAGCTGGTGAATACATCTTTTTTTTTTTTTATACAAGCACTGGGTATAGTCAGAAGCGCGGGAGGGTGAGAGAATTCACCAGAGCCAGAGCGGGGCGCAGAACAGGCAGACTGATGAAATACACTGCTGAGGGGAGCAGCGGGCGGCAGGAGAGGTCTGCGCGCCATGCGGGACCCTCCTCTGGTGGCCGGGAAGCAGCCGGGGATCGAACCGGCGCTGCAGAGGCTGCGGGCAGCTTCGCAACCCAGCGCTCAACCGCTGTGCTACAGGGGAAGCCCCTGGTGAATATATCTTAAAACCACGCACACCCCTTTATTCGCTCGGTGATCTCAGCAGGGTCCCATGGATTGGATTTCATTCCAGGGGTTCCGAATCCATGGGTTCCTCCTGTTTTTCATCTCGACGGTCCACCTGGGCCCCGTTGGGCCGGGGTGCCCCCTTTCAGCTATCCGGGGGCCTCTCACCGTGGCCCCATCATTCTGGGAGCACACGGAGATGTCCAGGCTCGACTTCTACTTCCCTCTCGGCCAAGGCCAGTCCCTTTCCGTGGAGAACAGCGCCAGGGCGCGCCCCAGCTTTTCCATGTTTACCAACCTCCTTGGGGGGCTGATGCGTTTCCCATTTCCAAGGAGCCTGCGCCTTCCAGGCGCTGGTTTTCCTCTCCCCTCCATTGCACTTCACATCCGCCGCCCTCTTTCCATCAGGCCGCTGCCTCTGCTGTTTATTTGCAGACCTTGCGTGTGTATTCCCAGCACTTCTGTTTGAGACGCCGCAGTGCCTCCGGCTCTGACGTCTGTCTTCCTTTGTCCCTGGTGGACCCTTTGGCCAGAATGCCTTTATTTTGAAGTAACCAAAACAAATATTAAAGTGTTTTCTTGCCTTTGATCCATTTGAGCTTTTTTTTTAAGTTGTGCAACATTTACCTTTTTTTTTTTAAAGATTTATTTATTTATGCATACAAGAACTGGGGTACAGGCCAGAGGTGCAGGGGTGAGAGGATTCACCAGAGACAGAGTGGGGAGCAGAACAGGCAGACTGACTGAAATACACTGCTGAGGGGAGCAGCGGGGAGACAGGAGAGGTCTGCTGCACCATGTGGGTAGCTCCCTGGCCCACTGGGGATTGAACTTGTGCTGCAGAGGCTGCGGATTGTTTCACAGTGCGGTGCTCAACCTCTTGCGCCACCAGGGAGGCCAACATTTACCATTTTTAAGGTTACAATTCTGTGGCAGGAAATACATTCACAATGTAACGGCATTATCTACACCCGAAAACCTTGCATCCTCCCCAACATAAACTCTGCCCCCATCAACCACCCCCTCCCCACCCCCGGTGCCCCCTTCCTGCTCCCTCTAGCCCGTGGCGCCCACCCTTCTGCCGTGTCTATGAATGGGGCTGTTCCCACACGAGTGTCACCCTGCAGGGAGCATCCTTCTGTACCTGGTTTCTCAGCATAACGTTTCCGAGGTCCATCCATGTTGCAGCCTGTGTCAAAACTCCATCTTTGAATGGCTGAATAGTATTCCATGGTGTATCTACAGCTTCTTCGAATTTATATTTTCACACCCCATATTGTGATTTCCAGCCATCTAGAGCCCACCTGTGTTTGCAGTGTGACTTCAGGATTCAGTGCTATTGGCGGCCAGGTCCCAGTATCATCTTCTGGAAATCTCTCCTTTCCCCCACGGGCTGCATTTGTTGTATATTTGGTGTTTATCCATCTGTCCATCTCTGGCCCCACTGCTCAGCCTCACTGGTATGTTTCTCTTCACACCAGCACCCCACTTTTTTACTATGTGGTGCATGTCTTTTAACTGCCAGAAGGGGAAGTTCCCCCCTGTCCTGTTCTACTCTAAGGTCACATGCCATGGCCCCTGGAATCCTTAGCTCCTCCTGTGCCGATGGGACCTTCCCTATTCCCACACAACAGTGAGGAAACGAGGCTTCAGGAAAGGGATGCGATGGATCAAGTCTACAGAGCTGGACCTGGCAGAGAAAGGACAGGCCAAGTCTGCCTCTAGGGTCGACCTTGATCCCCAGCAGCCAGCTGCCTCTCCCATCTGCAGGCCCCAGGGCTTTCATCTGTAAGAAGAGAGATGGGCTGGCGTGGCCTGTGGAGCTGGGCCCTTCCCTCATATTAATCAGTGTTTAACCAGGAAACCATTGAGCATGTGAACACAGGGACCTTCTCAGGGGGAGCTGGTTACAGAGATGATGGAGAAGAGGCTTGGAGACTGACCACACCAGGGAGCCATAGCTACCTCTGAGCTGGAGAGACTGACTCAGGGGTCACATTTCAGCAGCCCACTCGGTAAATCTAGAGACATACTGGGCCATCCTGGGGGAGCTGGAGCCCAAAGGAGACGCAGTAGTTCACAGAGATACCGACCAAGGTGTAAGGAGCCAGAAACACTCCCTCCAGCCTCCAGTGTCCCACCACCGCCTCCCGTTGGCCAATAAAGTCACTTGGCCTGGACCTGAGAACTGCAGCCCACAGAGCTCAGTCCCTCCAAGTTCGGCGGGGGATGGATCTGAGAACAAAGAGGAACAGGACACGGCCCTTCCAGGTCGCAGTTTCCACCAGCTGTCCCCACTGTGGTCTGAGCTTGGGATTCTTGAATCTAATGGCATCACACCCTCCTCCTGGCCCTCTGGCCTCCAGCTGCAGTGCATCCTGGGATGGCATCTTGCCCTCTGGTGACTCTGCTTTTCCAACATCTGTCTAAGCGCTTTCCTGTATCCATCCTTCTCCCTGGCGTGTCTATGTGGTCTCCATTCCCCACGCTGGGCCCAACTGATACACCAGACACGCCATCGGGGACAGAATGGCAGAGTGGTAACATGTGATATTGTGGACAGCCTGAGAAATGACCCAGCGGGGGAGGCCGACATCAAGTGAGCTGGGTCCCCAAGTCAGGGCGGATCCGGAGGCCCCGTGTGGGTGGAGCTACAGAGTGACCGCAGGGATGTCAGGATGCTGGGTCCACAGAGATGCTGAGGATCCCCGAGCCAGGCTCCAGCTCAGCTGAGAGGCACCGAGTGGCTCTGGGCCAAGGGAACCAGCTTCTATAAGGGCCTGTCTGTGTTCACAAGTCACCCCATGTTCATCCGCTACAGCTGTGTAACAAGTACCCGAGACATGTTTTCAGTTCTGGAGGCTGAAGTCCAAGGTCAAGGTGTCAGCTGAGTTGGTTTCTCCTGAGGCCTCTCTCAGGGCCAGCAGATGACCACCTTCCCCTGTGTCCCCACATGGTCCTCCCTAGGTGCGTGTCCATGTCCTCTCCTTATAAGGACACCAGTCATAGTGGACTTGGGCCCACCATCTGACTTCATTTAATCACCCCTTTATGCCCATAAATCACCCTGTCTCCAAATACAGTCACATGCTGACATACTAGGGTTTGAGACTTATATATGGATTTGTGGGGATACGACTCAGCCCATTACAACCCCTCATCTCACAAGGTGGGCATTTTCAGCCTTATTTTCCAAATGAGGAAATGGAAGCCCAGACGATGATTTGCCCAAGGCCACCCAGAGCTGGGTCGGCTTGGGGCCGGGGCTGCTCCTCTTCCTGCCAGGCCCCAAGGAGTCTTCTCTGTGACCTTCTCAGATGCTGGGGAATGGGTTCAACCTCCCCTTTGATTCCTTTGCCCTGTGTGATGAGACTCTGGCCCACCATTTACTGAGAATTTATTATGTGCTACTGGCTGTTCCGCTGGCATTGCAGACCCAGTCTTTATGCCCAGGAGGCAGCTCGGCAGGCGCTGCACATACCTCAGAGAGGCCCTCCCTGAATGCCCTATTTGTAATGATGCTTCCCCCACACAGATCCACCTCCTGCTTTACTTTCCTATGTAGGGTTCTCGATACCTGTAATGACCCAATACGTGTATTTGTTCATTATATCCCCCACACTGAACTGTAAGGTCCATGTGGGTAGTCCCAGGTCTTGGTGTATCCTTAGTGCACAAATGTGATCCTCAACCCATCAGGTGCTCAATGCTGGTCCAGCAATCAATGAGCACATGCTCACCAGTCCTCTGAGGCTCAGAGAAGGGTCCCAGATCTACCCAAGTTGACCCAGCTACAAAATAGTGAAGCTGGAACTCACTATTCCAGCTGTGTAATCTGTGTTCTACACCCAGGCCGGTTTCCTTAACTTGAACTTCCTTCCAAATCTCTCTCCCTGTTCTGTGGCTTCCCAAACCAAGCTAACCTCTACCCCAAACCTCTCCTGGCTACCCCATGGGTGAGGCTGAGCTGGCCTGCAGTACCATGTTTTGCCAGCAGGTGTCAGCATAGACCTCCTCGTGCCCACAGCGTGCCAGAGGTGAATGTGCGTGCAAGCAGTGACAGCTGCTTTTAAAGTGAACCAGATCCGGAGCTGGGCTCCCAGGGGTCAGAGGTGACTCAGCAGAGGCCCTGCCCTCCATTCCAATGGGAAGACATTCCTGTACAGCCTCCTGTCAATAAAAGCTCAGAGACATGTCAGCTCTTAATCCAACTGCATCATTCACACATGAGTCACAAGCAGTTATGCCCATAAATCACCAAGTAGCTGCCGGGTTCAGGATTCCTGGCATGCTTCCCATCCTACCTCCCCAACCCCACTTTACAGGGGAGCACATGGAGCCAAGGAAAGAAACAAAAGAAACAAGCACACAGCAAGAATTAGCTTGCATCAGACTCCTCCCAGTGGGGCCCCAGGGTGGGGCACTTGTGAACATGGCTGGCCCTCCCGATGCACACAGGAGGATGGCTTCCTAGGGTGGCTGGGGAAGCAGAATTGCTGGGGTGAACTGCAGATCCATGGGCTGCTCCAACTGCGGTAGAGGGAGGTGTCTCCCCCCAGTTCACCTACAAATCAGTTTCTCAACCTCCACCCTACTGACATTTTGGATCAGAGAATTCACATCAGAAGAGGACAGAGGTCGGTGCTATCACCACCCCTGATGTAACAAACACAAATGTCTCCAGACATTACCAACGTCCCCAGTTGAGAACAACTGCTCTGAACTCACACAGCCTACAGTCGGGGGTTTCCAAGCACACGTTCCAAAAGCAGATCTGTCAGAGCTACCTTCCCTCTGGCAGACACCTGCCTTCTCACTTTGCAAGGGGTCCACTGACCTCACTCATCCCTGGTTCAAGGATAAGCACTTCGGTCCTTGTGGATCACTAGCAGGGTCTGAGGATAGACATTAGCGCATAGCACCGGGACAGTGCTTCCTGACTCCAAAAATGATACAGAGACCGTGACATGTCATCCTTATTCTTAGGAGATACAACGGGCACAGGACTGAATCTCCAGTGGTTCAGAAAACAAACACGCAAAGAATGAACCATCAGGCAACATGAGGTGAGAGTGGGGGGTGAGTGTGAAGGTGATGTGGAAGCTTATCACGCTAGTCTACAACTTTTCTACACATTTTACATTATTTTAGAAATTACTATTTAAAGGGTTTTTATCACCTGTGTTCTCTTATTTTTAAAACATAAACCAGGTTATTATTTTATAATCTGTTATTCCCACCTGCTCCTAGGAAAAGCAAAATCACTGCTTGATGGAGCTTAGGATCCAGGCTCCATTTGGGCACGTCCCAAGCAACTCCCAGAAAGGGTTCTCGGTACAGTAAGCGTGGCAGGCTGGAAGGCCCTTTGCCTTTACGTGGGTCCCTAAATGCTTGAAAAGAAATTCTACCCCACATTACCAGCAATTAATAACACTACTAGGGATCTACCCAAAGGACACAAAAACATTGATTCAAAAGAACACCTGTACCCCTATGCTCACTGCAGCACTATTTGCAATAGGTAAAACCTGGAAACAACACAAATGCCAATAAAAAGATGACTGGATCAAGAAGATGTGGCATATATACTCAATGGAATATTATTGAGCAATCAAAAAAGATAAACTCTTGCCATTCACAGCAACATGGATGGAGCTAGAAGGAATGATGCTCAGTGAAATAAGCCAGAAGGAAAAAGAAAAATATCAGATGGTTTCACTTATAGCAGGAATATAGGGGAACCCAATAAGACATCAGTGTAAAAAAATAGTAACAGTACAAAACACAACAAAGTGAAAACAGACAATTATAAATTAGAGACATCCTGCAGGGGAGGAGGAGGGAGAGGGGTCAGAGGGAGGGAGGGAGGAGCACAGGGGACTGAGGTGATGGTGCACGGGTGCATTGGGGAAGGAAACTCTATGGGGACTACACCTGAGGGGGTGGGGGGAAGCAAATACTATTTAAAAATGAACAATGGGGCCTCCCTTGTGACGCAAGGGGTTAAGATGCAACCTCTGAAGCTATCCGCAGCCACTGCAGCACTAGTTCGATCCCTAGCCAGGGAGCAACCCATATGGCGCAGCAGACCTCTCCTGTCCTGCCCGCTGCTCCCCTCAGCAGTGTATTTCAGTCAATCTGCCTGTTCTGTTCCCCACTCTGTTTCTGGTGAATCCTCTCACAGCCCACGCTTCTGACCTGAACCCCAGGTCTTGTATGCATAAATAAATAAATCTTAAAAAAAAATTTAAAAAATGAACAATGATGTAAAAAATTAAAAAGAAATTAAAAAAAAAGAAATACCACCCCACATTAACAGTATTTATAAGGCCCCTCCACCATCCCAGTTCCCCCACCCCTCCCCCAGGCAGCCCAGGTCCCTCCTGCAAGTGAAGCATCCCCAAATCCTTGGGAGGACCTGGTGGGTCAAAGGGTAATCTTATCTCCCTCTGGTGACTGATCCAGGGATCGGCACGCGATGTAAGAGGACCAATGAGACGCAAGGCGTCTAGCTGATAAAAAGCTAGACGGTGACTTTATGAGACTTCTAAGTCCAGGATTCTTTGATGCTGCCCGGAGAAGGCCAAAGAAGCTGGCCTAAGAAATGAGAGGCCATGAACTGAGCTGAGAAGCCAGCAGCCAGAGGCCGTCGGACCTTCCAGCGCAGCCCGCAGCTGTGAGAGCCAGCAGAGGCGCCACCAGCCAAATCAACTGTAAAAGAAATCCATCAGTGCTGTTTCAGCAACCATTTGGGGAATGGATGTGAAGATTCAGGGAGGTGATAACATAACCTGGCATGCAGTAAGTGCCTAATAAGTGCTGGTCATAGCTGACCATACATTTCTGCTCTTGTCACCTTTGCCGATCACTCCTAGGTGGAGGGGCACTAGGAGGGCTTACGGTGGGAAGCAAGCAATGAACTGTGATAAACACACAGGGAATTTACTAGAGAATAATGGGAAATTCTCAGGAACACCAAGGGCTGGAAAACCTAAGAAAACAGTTCAGATTCTAGAGGCCAAAAAGCAATAAAATTTGCCATTGTGGCTGAGGCTGTTGGATATCAAATGAAAAGAAAAATTCTTATTGACAGAACTGCCGCTTTTTAGTTAGTCTCCTGGGGGAAGGGGAACAGCGGGGGGGGGGGGGGGGGGCGCGGGGGCGGGGAGCACTGTCCAGCCCTGCATAGCAAAGAGCACCATGCACCTGAGTTCCAACCTATGGGAGAGAAGCGGGGAAATGGTGCCCTCTTTGTTCCTTCCCACCAGCTGGAATAGGACAAATGTCTGGCGTATGAGCCACCTCCTGGGACCCTGAGGTGGCAGTCACCTGTTAAGGATGGTAGAGCTGCCACCTGTTAAGGCCTGGTGATAGTGGAGCCCCACACCACCTCTGGTCACCAACAGCTCGTGAGAGAAGAAATGTCTGCTGAGTTTAAGCCGCTGTACGTTGAGTCCAGGCCAGTGTCCTTTCGTGTCCCCATCTTACAAATAGGAAAACTGATGCACGTGGCCCTAACACAACAATGACAATGCCAACAGCCACCAATATTGACTGAGCCAGGCCCCGCCCTTCCTGGCTTTCTGATCTTTCATTACCCACTAATTCCCCTGGACTTGGGACGGCGCCCGCCCCCCGCCAGTTTCATTCTCGCGTCCTGGCCTTTGCTCTTGCCATACTGTCCAGCACACCCTGCTTTACCTTTTCTCCCTGGTAAAACTTCCTCTTTGGGCAAGTTGACTATTCTTGCAGCTGGGAACTCTCTGCAGCCCACGGTCCTTCTGCCAGGCTATGACCTGGGTCTTTTAGCTCCCCGAGGACCCCGAACCCACTTTTTCTCAACCTCCCACACATTCAGTCAAAACATTAAAAGTCAGTAAGGCTCCTTCCCCAGACAGGGCCTTTGCTCGGGCTACACGATCTGGCTGGAACACAACTCTCCCACAACCTCCCCTGGCTCCCTTCTTCCCTGCTGTAAGTCTGCTCACATCTCTGCTCACACGACTTTCCCTGGCCACCCTCCCAACCTGCAGGGCTTCTTCTCCTGCCCAGCGTTTCCCCAAAGCAGCCATCACCTCCTAGCATGCCACAGCTTATCTCCTGCTGACTGTACACCTCCCTCCCACGCCCGAGGGGCAGCTCCATGAGGCAGGGCCTTTGTCATTTCTTGCTCCTGCTACGTTTTCAGGACCTAAAAAATGTCCTGCCACACGGCACATGCTCAGTAAATATTTTCTAGATGAATGAATGGGCAAAAAAATGAAATGATAGCGATGTTCATTTCTGCCGGCAACTTTGTTGTTTGAAACATACATAAACATGCATGAAGAGGGATCTTAAACATTCTTCTAGATGTCAGGACTCACACTCCATTCCCCACCAGCCCCTTTGCTCTCCCCTCATTATCCCCCACCCCCACCCCATGGCACTGGAGAAGAGCAACGCTGACAGGGGCACACACTGTCAGGTGGAGGAGGGGCTGCAGGTGGGAGTCCTCACCACAGCCGCCTTCATCCCGCCTTCACCCTGATTCCACCGCTACCACCATCACTCTGGTCCCTTCTCCCGCAGCATCTCTCACTAGGCTCACCCACCCTAATCCACCTCTGCTCAGCCGCACCTCTTCCCTCCCCGCTGGCTTTGCTGTAACTTGGTGACCAAAGTCACATCAGAAACCACGTTTCTCCACCAGAGGACTCAGTGCCCACGTGACAGCTCTGCCTGGGATGTCCCGCTGGAATCTCACACAAAGTGCACCCAAAACAGAACCCCGGACGTCCCCCTCCCCAAACGTGCTCAGGCAGCAGCCTCCCCATCTCAGGCCATGCCACCTCTCTCCTTCCAGGGGCTGGGGCCAGACACCTGAGTCTCCGCATGATGCTGGGCTTCTCCTTCCCTCCCCCCTCACCCACCCGCAGGTAAATCCTGGCCGCTCCACCTTCAAAATGCATCCGGAATCAACCAGCCGCTTCTCCACCTTCAGGGTGACCTAAACTGACCGCTGGCTCCCCTACCTGGACTATGGTAGCCACCTGCTCCCCAGCCGCCTGCCTCCACCCAGCCCCTGCGTCCATCCTCCACAGCCAAAGCAATCCTATTAAAAGGTAAAGTCAAGGTCACTGTACAAGTCTTGACCAGACGGTCACTGGGCTATCTGTGGGGGCGGAACGATTCTGTGTCTGCACCATGCCATCCCCACGCCACAGATCACTCCCCAGCCCCTAGATGTGCTTCGTGCAACCAAAGAAGTGAATTCTTCGTTTTTTGTTACTTTCATAGCTGCTCTCTGTTGGCAAGTTGGGTAGAAACAAGTCTCTCCAACACAGCGGGTGGGAATGTCAATTGGCAAATGATTCCAATGTCAGTGTCTCCCTACCTATTGATCTGTTTGTCAATATCTGCCAAAATGACAAAGACATTTAACATTTGTCACAGCAACCCCACTTCACTTCAAGAGTGTGTCCTATTGATCTACCTTCACACTCAAAAAAACCTTGTGTACAGGTTTATAACACCTAAAGGCAGGAAAAAACTCAAGTGTCCATTAATGGGCAACTAGTTAAATGAATCGTGGTCCTGCCACACCATGGGATACCATGAAGTTGTAAGGGGGAAAAATGAAGAAATATGATAGTTAAAGCAAAAATAACCAAAAAAAAAAAAAAAGAATAAATTAAACTTCATCAAAAGTAATAATATTTGTGGGCCTCCCCTGGTGGCGCAGCGGTTAAGCACTGGGTTGCGAGGCTGCCCGCAGCCTCTGCAGTGCCAGTTCGATCGCTGGCCGCCGGCGAGGGTCCCACAAAAAAAAAAAAGTAATAATATTTGTGCATCAAAGGACACTCTGAAGAAAGTGAAAAGACAACCAACAGAGAAAATATTGGCCAAGTTATATATCAGATCCAGAATATATAAAGAGCTCCTATAATTCAACAACTAATAGATAACTCAATATTTAAATGGGCAAAGAGTCTGGATAGATACTTCTCTTAAAAATACATGCAAATGGTCACTAAGCACAGGAAAAGTTACAAGGGAAATGTAAATCAAAGCCACCCCAGATACCAGTTCACACTAATTGTGGGATTGTAACAAAAAATACTGTGTTGGTGAGGATGTGGAGCTTCTGGAACACTCAGACAATGCTGGGGGTGCAGCTGCAGCGGAAAGTTTGACAGTCCCTCAAAAAGTTAAACACAGTGACCGTTTCACCCAGCAGTTCCACTCCTAGGTAGAGACGTGAAACATCTCCACACAAGCCTGTACCTGAATGCCCACAGCAGCATGACCAGCAGTGGCCAAAATACAGAAACTCTAATGCCCATCGGTTGAATGGAAAAGCAAAATGCGCTCCATTCATACACTGGACTGTTATTTGGCCATAAAAAAAAGAAGGAAGTCCTACATCACCGTGAAGCCTGAAAAGTGATATTCAGAGGAAGAAGCCAGACACCCCTCCCAAAAAAAGCCACATATTATCTGATTCTACTATATTATTATATTTAATAATAGTATAAATAATAGTATAAAATAATATAAAATAGTATAATAATAGTATAATAGTATAAAATAGTATAATAATAGTATAAAATAGTATAAATAATAGTATAAAATTTTTATTTTCAAGCATGTGAATTTCCTAAATACTAAAAAAAAAATTTTTTTTAATGTAAGTTAGGTCATGTGATTCCTGTGTTTAAAACCCTAGAGGGGGCCTCCCTGGTGGCACAAGGGGTTAAGTCTCAGCACTTTGAAGCTATCAGCAGCCACTGCAGCATGAGTTCGATCCCCAGCCAGGGAGAAACCTACATGGCACAGCAGACCTCTCCTGTCTCTCCCGCTGCTCCCCTCAGCAGTGTATTTCAGTCAGTCTGCCTGTTCTGTTCCCCGCTCTGTCTCTGGTGAATCCTCTCACCCCCCCCCACACACACACATACCTCTGGCCTGTACCCCAACCTTTGTATGCACAAATAAATCTTAAAAAAAACAAGACCCCCCTAAACCCTTTCCTGTCCCTGCCCCATTAGTCCCTCTCTCCCCTCCTCTCTGACCTGCCCCCTTGCTTCCCTCTTTCTCTCTCAATGGCTCCTGGCTCCCTCTTTGCTCTTCCTGGACCTGGCAAGTATGTTCCTGCCTCAGGACCTCTGAACTTGCTCTTCTTTCAGTATGGCACAATTTGACCCCTAAATTTTACAACAGCTCTCTCGTTTTAGGTCTTGTCTCAAATGTCACTTTCTTCAAGAAGCCTTCCCACACACACACATCCCAGAGGATGCTGTCATGTTCCATGATTCCCTAGAACAATGCCTGGGCCAGAATGAGCCTTCATAAAAGTGTGTTGAGTGAATGAATGATCTCAGGCCATCTGTCCCTCACCCATCTCATGCTGGCCACTAGGGGGTTTCCAGATGCCAGTGATAAAACAGACACCCCCAGACTGCTGGGAGGTCTGCCACACATGCAGTTTTGCGGTGTGTTCCCCTGGAATCTAAAATCCAGTCCCCACCAAGATACGCCTCCCTTAGCTCCGGGGTTGAAAATCCAATTGTATAGTTAATAAATGACCCAAGAGATCAGCTATTTCCTCCAGAATTCATCAAAACTCGGGCCGCAATCTGTCCCAGTCATGGAAGCAAATTTGGAAGGAGGGAGCAGGGACCTGCAGGGCACAGTGGCCACCTGGGTCAGGGACACTCAGGAAACAGAGCCAAAGGGACTGTTTTTTCCCAGCAGCTGAGTTTGCAGATCTTAAATGCCCTGAGAAGAAGGGCAGGATGGTGCCTCAGAATGTCATCCGCGTTTGGAAGTTGTCTTACCTCTCATCCTGCTTCCCTGGGCGCCTGAAGGGTCTTTCCAAGGCCTGGGAGGCAGCCCCCATTTGGCGACACTGTACATGAGAGCAATTATTGTGGACTCTGTAGTCAGCTCCACACAGAGGTAAAACCCTGGCCCTCGCATTTGCCTGCTGAGAGAGTAAGAGCATCCTTACTCTGCGTTCATTCAGCAAATATTCATTGAGCTCCTACTATGTGCTCTATGCAGATGCAGACACAGGGGTTCAGCAGCCAACAAGGCAAACCAGGCCCTCAGGAGCTAGTTTTCTGGGGGGAGGGTGAGAACAGGAACTGCACATTCACTGACGATGCCAAGCGCTGTGAAGACAAAACAGGGTGATGTCACAGTGCCTGGAGGGGGGGGGCAACTTTGAGCAGGGTGGTCCGGAGGGGCCTCTGAGTAAAAGGGAGGCTGGCGTTTCGCGCTTCGCCCAGCGCCCGGCAGATATGAAACGCTCCATAAATCTTTCAGTGTCTCTTAGGGTCGTTTTCATCCGCTTGCTGTCCTCTCCCTCCGGGGAATATGCGTTCCTGGGGGTCAGACAGCCCGTTCCTCCCCAGATGCACAGCGCCAGCTGGCACATAGTAGGTGTACGCACAGTCCTCGTGAGCTCTGCGCACGGTAGGGCTAGGTGATGGAGTCCAGTGTGAACAGCACCCAGCTGAGGCGCCCTGGTAAAGCCCCATCAAGTGCTCGCTGCCAGGCCCAGCTGGCGCCGTCCACGCGAGCTCCTCGCACACAGTAGGCGCTTCAAGGCGCGTACGGCGGAAACGCCCATTTCTGGGTCCGGGGAAGCACGGCCTCAGCCCATTGCTCCTGCCGGGAAAGCAAGCCCGAGGTGGGCGGCGACCCGCGTCCGCGGGCGGGTGCCGGGAGCCGGGCGGAGCCGGGCCGGACCGGGCCGGGGCGAGCCTGGACGCGCCCAGCTGCGCCCAGCTGCGGCCCCGCCCCCGGAGCGCGCCGGTTGGCTGCGGCTCCGCGGCCGCTGATTGGCTGGCGTGGCCCCAGCGCGGGTGCCGATTGGCTGTGACGCGCGGCCGGGCGAGGGCCCCGCCGGCCCCGCCCCCGCGCCGGGCGCCGGGCGGTCATTGGGCGGCGTGAGAGCGCCGCGGTCCCGCGGCCCTGCTGCCGCCGCCAGCAGAGCGCACCGGGCGGGCCGGGCGAGTGGCCATGGCGGGCCCCGAGGACGGGCCGGGCCAGCGGCCGGAACTCGACGAGGACGAGGCGGCGTCCTGCCGGCGCTGGGGCGCGCAGCACGCCGGGGCCCGCGAGCTCGCCGCGCTCTACTCGCCAGGTAGGACCTCGGGGCCCCTCCGGCCTGCAGTCACCAGCCCGGGCTGCAGACCGCGAGCTCGGGTCCCCCCGATCGGATCCCCAGCCGCAGGCCCCGATGCAGAGCTTAACCTCAGCTTCTAACTTGCAAATAGCTCCCCAAGCCCGGGGACCCCACCCAGCGCCCCTGCCAAGCCAAGGCAGATCCCTGGCCCGAGGACTTGCTGGGTGCAGAGCGGCCCCCCACATCTGGGAACTGCTATAAACTGCTCCCCTTTGAACCCCAGATCCGGATCCTAGCCACCGGACACCCACGGCTGCAAGCGGCGCACCTTGACTTAGGAATCCCCCCAACTCCAGGACCCGATCCCAAGAGGCAGCCTCTCAGCTACATGCACTGCCCCCCCCCCCACCTAAAAGTCGCATCCCACCCCATGTTCCCAGATTTTGAATTCACTCCCTGGGACCCCATCTGGGCCTCACTCAGGGCCCTCACTCCCCAAAACCTGGCATCTCAACACAGGCCCCAACTATCCAGTGCCCCAGAAGCCTTACCCCTAAAACCCCATCCTACTTTAAGCTCCAGTCACTATAGACCAACACCCCAGCCTTCCTACCCTTCCCCTGCTTCCCCTGCCATCACCCTGTATTTAGGAATCCCAGGTAGTGAAGGCTTTGCACATCCTCCAGGTTAAGCTCCTCCCCCACACAAGCACCCCTACTGGTGTGCCTATATTATCCCCCTTCATTAGGACTTCTGGCTGGAGTCCCACGATGCCCCAGACCACAACTCAGAGACCTCAGTCCTCAAGCCAAGGTCCCTGGCTTATTCCTGCCGTGCCTACCATTCTTTCTCCAGCAAGCACCAGCCACCCCCTCCCTTCCTTTCTCTGACTTCACTTGAACTCCTGGCATCCCTTTACCAACCCACGGGAAAGGTGAATTTCCCCTAGGAGTTAAGGAAGTGCCTGTGAGAGAGCCCAGAGTCAGGTGATGGGGAGCTGCCAGAGGCCCCACTCTGCCTGAACCAGGAGCTTTATCAGTCGGGCATCTTTCCTTTTGTCAAGGGACAGCGGCACAGCCTGTACCTGCAGTGGGCTCGGGTCCCACCTTTGGTCTGCCCTGCTTGCCTGCCATCTCTCTCACAACTTGCTGCATGACCTTGGGCCATTTGCTTTCTTGCTGTTTTCTGCATGACCAGAGGCCTTCCTGGCTTCAACTTCCATGCTCTGGGTGTGATGTTTTTCCTAATCTGACTTGGGCACCTGACTCATGCTGCCATGGTTTCTTCAGCCCAAACACCCAGCCAGTAGATTTAAAATCCCCATCCCTGGGACGCGAATACTTGGTGTCCTTACTGGGTTACCTAACTGTGTGACCTGGGCCGGGCTGCTGGCCCTCTCTGAGCCTCAGCTTCCTCCCATCGACAGTGGGTACAAGATGGAGTTTATTTGTTCCTTGGTATCATTGGGATGAGGAAATGAAATGAGATCATCTACTGTTTGCAGTGCCTGGCATACAGCAGGCACTCCTTATTGTTAGCCTAATAGTCTGACTTTCCTGTAAGTCTCCAGCAAACTGCCTCACCTCTCTGGTCCTCAGATTTACCAGCTGGGAATCAGGCAGATTCCTTCGAGATCCTCCTTTGGTGTCTAGCTCTGCCCTCTCATGTAAGCCCTACCCCCTTTCAACCAAGTCATCTGAGGCCATTCCAAGGGACCGCAGTCTCCCCATTATGTGATTGCGTCTTTGTCCTGTTCTGGTTTCCCCAAGTGTGCCTCACGCTAAAGAACAGCCACACAGAAATCTGAGGCTAGGGATGCTATTGCCCCAAACCAGAGTCAAGGCCTGATTGCCTCCAGACCTGGATTTGGGGGTTGGGGGAGAATGAAAGAGTGGGAAACTGGCCAGACTAGTTTCTCCACACCTCACAGGCCTCCCTTTGTCTGCCTCTGCCCCCTTACCTTGTGGCCCTGGAAAATTTTCTTGACCTCTCTGGGGCTGACCTGCAAAGTGAGGGACCATATTCAGTACATATAGGGCACTTTTCACCCTGCTCCCCCTGCCAGCTCCCAGGGGAAAAGCAGCAAAGGAAAAATGGAGATGGCATTTTAGCAAAACGATAAATAAGGAAAATAGCACACTTACCAATGGTGGCGAGCTCTCTGGAACAAGTATAAACTAGGAAAGGGGAGGTGAAATGTTGGGGCTGCGAAGGCCTCCCAGAGCAGGACACATTTGAACAGACACCTGCAGGGAGGGAGGCGTGAAGCTATTTGAAGAAGGACTGGTCCAGACCAGGGACAAGCACGTGCAAAGACCCTGAGGTGGGAGCATGCCTGGAGTGTTGGCGGGACGCCCAGGAGGCCTGTGGGCTCAAACAGTGAGGGGAGAATAGAAGTTTATGGGTTTCAGGGCTGAATTCCTGAGATTCCTGGGGCCAGAGGTGGCACCCTGATAGTTGGCAGCAATAAGGCAGTAACGGGCAGTTACTGGACACTGACTGTGCCGGCCAGTGTCCTCACATGCTCTGTCTCATCCCCCCACACTTGTCTGTGGTGCATCCTGATATTGATTCCATTTTAAGAGGAAGAAACCGAGGCCCCCGTAGTCCCCCCCTGTACCCACCCCAGATGTGTTCTTCCTAACACTCATCCTGCCTGGGGTCTGGCTTGCCTCTGCCCTCCCACCAGGGGATGATCAGCACATCTGTTTGTGCTGAAGTGCCTGGTGCCCTGTCCATCTTCCAGACATTTCCTGAGGCTCAGCAAAGAGTAGTGACCTGCCTGCTGTCACCCAGCCAATGAGCAACAGGGCCAGAACCAGAACCTGGCAGGGGGTGTTCTGGGTTCCGTGTTCTTTGCCTTCACCTTGGGGCTGAACCAGCCCAGGACAGGTGTGTGGGAGGGTCCAATGTTCCAGGCCAGCAGAGGGGCATGTGCGCGGGGCCGGCAGCAGAGAGAGCGGACCTAGTGTCTGCAGAGAGCTGTGAGTAGGCCGCTCAGGGGCACAGGGACCAGGGAGGGGAGAGGCAGCCTCAGCCATTCCTGTGGGACCCTGGTGTTTGGCCAGGAGTTGGCCCTAGGCCTGGGCTCTGGGAGCCATAGAGGGTCTCACTCTGGATTTAGGTCCACCCCCTATCAGGGATCAGGGGTGGTGAAGGGCCTAGAGGGCTTGGCAGGCCTCCTCTGCCTCATGGACAAATCAAGAGGTGAAGCAGGGACGTGGCTTCCCAGCAGGTGCTGGCTGTTACCAGGCACAGGTGTGCAAGACTGTCTCAGGTGCCCAACTCCAGGGGCCAGCTGTTCACCCACCCTGGCCTACTACGATGCCTCCTGTGTTGGGGACATAAGTTCTTAGCATGGGGTTGGGAAGGCTGGAGCAGTGTGCCAGGGTCCTGGGCAGGAGTATAGGCTGTAGTCCTAGAGCTGAGCCTGGCTTCAGAGCCCCCAGTGGGCCTGAGGGCAGAGGGCAGAGGCCTGGTCCCAGCCAGACTCCCAGCCTAGCATCCTCTCTCCCTCAACCCAGTTCTCCTTCCCGCCCTTTCTCCTTTTGGGCCCTACACCTTCTCTTTTGTCTCTCTGTCTCCATATAATCTCTCCCCGTCTCTCCCTTTTTCTCCTCTCTGTGTTTCTCATCTCTCTGTATGTCTGACTCTTCTCTGTCTCTCTCTGGCCCCTGCCCTCTCCTACCTCCTGCCCCCCATCCCGAGGCTGAGGGTCTCCTAGTGGCCGAGGTACATCCGAAGTCAGGCTATTCAAGGCTTGTCTGACTGAAGCAAGAAGAGAAGGGCAGGCCTCATGCCAAGCCTGTGGCTGCCGCCTGCCCCAGGAAAGCAGAGTTGGCCCTCGCCTGGCGCCCCGCCTCCCCTGTGCCTCCCAGCTCCCCAAGCCCACCACACACAAGCCTGGCTCCTCCCAGGCCAGCAAGCTGCCATTGCTGTAACTCAGCTCAGATCCCAGAGCTGGGCCAGGCCAGGGGCGCCATCCAGGGCGGCCTGGGCCTCTTGTGTCCCAAGCCAAGTCCTCCCCTCCCCAGGGCTCAGTCTGCTCATCTGTAAAGTGACATAATTTAGGCCACGGGGCCCATGGACCCTACCAGGCTGACTGTCCGTGCTATGACTTTGGTGACCCTCAAGTGACTTTGGACAAAATCATTTTAGAGTGACTGTAAGGAAACTGCTCTCCAGGCCTATTCTCTCCCCAAGGAGGGCAAGTGGTCTGGGACTCAGGTGTGGCAGGAGCCAGATCCTCCCTGGCATGTAGGCTGCTCCATGTGACTGTTACAGACGTATTTTTTGTGGATCCAAGTTGAGGCACATGGTCTGCAGAAGGATCCAGAAGCCAAAGAGATGGCATCCAGAGGGGAAAATATTCAGATTCGGGGACATTCTTTCTCCGTGGCAGGGGGGAGTGCTGAGTGACTGGGAACAGGACCGTCCAGAGTATCCAGACTGACATTTCCTGCTCACAGGCCCAGCATCCAAACCAGGTCTTCCTTCTTACCCTTGAGCCTCAGTCTTTTCCTCTGGGAAAGGGAATCACAGGGTTCTTTCCAGAGGGACTGGGCTTGAATGGGACTGTGCCTTGCATTCAAGATGACGCAGGGCCTGGCCAGAAGTGCCATCGAGGAGACCGCCTACATCAGCTGCCGCGCAGGGAGGGCCGGGGAGGGGCCGTGACCTATCTCATGGGGGCAGCTCGACTGCTGACTGGGGGCCGGAGCCCCGTCTTCTCAGGGGAAGCAGGAAACTAGACATTTTATGTGATTTCTTTTTTGAAGCTTGGCTAATTTATTTTAAAACCGAAAGCAAAATTTGCCCGAGGGAGCCCATGTGTCTCTGATGTGGGCCCCCAGCACCATAGGCCTGAGTGGTGTAGACCATTGTGTTGTTCCTGTCATTTGATCCCCTTGCTGTCCCACAGGCTGGGGAGGGGAGAGCAGGTTGGCACTGAGGAGTCACCTGTCCTTTTCCCTTGTGTCCCCCCTCCCTGGGCTTCCTGCTTCTGAACCCCAGGTCCTGGCCACAGACAGGAACCAGAAAGGGGAAGGTCCAGCTGGGCTTGATACTGTTTACCCCAGGTGGGGACCGCAGAGAAACAGCTGCCCAGGCTTTCCTGGCTGTGTAGGCCGTGACTCAGCCCTGGCTGATTTGACCGATCCGCCAGGCGGTGGGCTCGTAGGTTAAACTCCCAAGGCCCTGACACCCTGGACAAAGCTGCAGTTTGTCCTACCTCACACACCTTTCAAAAATGTGGCAACATGCACATCCACGTCCGGTCCCTGGCATCTCCTGAGAATGAGACTCTCCAGCCTCTCCTGGCCCTCATGCCCGCCTAGTGGCAGTGAGCCAGCTTGTCACCCCTCCCTGGGACAGGGCACACACCTGCATGACCCCTGCCCCCACCCAGCCCACCTCCCTCCACTCACCTAACTTCGAGCCCTTCGTCCCCCATGGCGAATCCCAGACCACTGCTCCTGCCCTCAGAGTGGAAACGGGAGGACCTGGTGCTCCAAAATGCTTGACTAGGTGCCTGGAGCCTACTTGATGGAGGTTGGGCAGAGTCTGAACCTCGGGGATTAAACTTTGCTTGCATCCTCCATCTCCAAATAATTACCTGCAAATGGGAACCAGCAATGCTGTGATGAGTTACGAAAAGCTCACCAACCTTCCGCAGCCATCTCCAGAGAGAGCTGCACAGGGTCCAGAGCTCAGATCCCCATTGTCAAAGGCTTGGTGGGCACAGGCCAGCTTCCTGGGCTGTGACCTGTGCACAGGGGCCCCTTGGGGAGAGCCCTTTGCTTGCTATAATGGCAGCCAGCCCTGAGATTGTGCCACCGGCTGGCACTTACTCTGCCCTGCGCCCCCGTGACACCCAGGAAATGGGTAGTGGGGGCTTGTCTGTGAGTTCAGCCTGTCTTAGCGCCATAGACTCATGGAGCCCTGTTGAGGAGGCCCCAGGGGTCGCTGACTTTCTGCTCCTTGCTCGTGTGCACTCATCTTTGGCCCCCTTCCCCGCAGGCAAGCGCTTCCAGGAATGGTGCTGCGTGGTCCTGTGCTTCAGCCTCATTGCCCACAACCTGGCCCATCTCCTGTTGCTGGCCCGCTGGGAGCACACGCCCCTCGTCATGCTGGGTGTCGGTGAGTGTCCACAGCCTGCTACCTGCCTTGGTTTCCCCAGGAGCCAGGGACCAACCCCATGTCTGACCGCTCTTTTTTTTTTTTTTTTTTAAGAGGCATGTTTTTTATTTATTTATTTGTTTGTTTGTTTGTTTATACTTGCACTGGGTACAGTCAGAAGCGCGGGAGGGTGAGAGAATTCACCAGAGCCAGAGCGGGGAGCAGAGCAGGCAGAAAGACCAAAGTACACTGCTGAGGGGAGCAGCGGGCGGCAGGAGGGGTCTGCGCGCCATGTGGGACCCTCCTCTGGTGGCCGGGGAACAGCCGGGGATTGAACTGGCGCCGCGGAGGCTGCGGGCAACTTCGCAACCCAGCGCTCAACCGCTGCGCCACTGAGGAGGCCCTGTCTGACCGCTCTTATGGCGATTTGCAGGCATGTGGACGTGTGTGTGGGTGTGTGGGCTTGTGTGTGTGTGCACTGTGTGCGCACGCAGGTCGGCTGTGGGAACCTGCCCTCCGTCTTAGTCAGGGGCACCTCTGCCCTTCCTGTAGCTTGGGCCAAAAATCTGAGTGCCCCCCTTGGTTCCTCTCTCTTGCTCACATTCCAAACCATCAGTAAATGCTCTTGACTCTACTTTCCAAGATGCTTCCAAAATACAGCTGTTTCTCTTCATCTCCACTGTCCTCACCCTGGTCCGGCCACCATCCTCACCCATCTGGACTGTCATGGAAGTCTCCTCCGTGGCCTCCCTGCCTCCACTTTGCCCCCCACCATCTGCACCTGCAGCCTTTCTGTCACAGAGCACCACGTTCAAGGGCAGGAATGTGAAGTGTGAGCCCTGAAGCTCCATCTGGGGGGCAGCTGCAAGCAGGACCCTGCAGACATGAGTCCCCCACCTGCTGGCCGTGTGGCCTTGGGCAAGGGTCGTTGTGTCTCTCCACGTTGTAACGTGAGCCTAGTTTGCAGGACTTGCCTCCCAGGACTGTCGTGAGGGCAGAATGCAGGTGTCTGTGACGCCAAAGGGACCAGGACTGGATAGCGATGGGGAGGGGACACTGCCAGGGGACACGCCAACTCACCAGGGCTCGAACCTTCCACCTCAGTGGTCATTCTGACAGTGGCTATTCCCAGGCACATGCTCTGTGCAAACCCTTCCTGGGCACTATAAGTTCTCAGTAGCCACCTACTAAGGGTTTCCCATCACCGTGCCCAAGAAGTCCCATGACTTGCCCATGCCCAGGCAGCAGCAGAGACCCCTCAGGCAGGTCATCAACCCCCTTCCCTGGTTGGGGTCAGAGTTTCCAATCCTGGGCCCAGGAGATCTCTGACCATCCAGCCACGTCATGTGATGCCAGCTTCGCCATCAGACTCCTTTGTCTCTGGGTTGATAAGAGTAGACAATCTCCTGATAACTGTGTTTGCTCGGTGTTTGCTCAGTCCCTAATCGATTTAAGTAGCTGCCCTGATTTGTGTGTTAACATGCAGGAGGTAAGGCACCGTGCCAACCTGAGGAACCTGTCCGTGGCCCAGCACTGTGTCCTGGTGCTTCTGGCAGGCCCTAGAAACCAGCAGAGGTAGAAGCATTAAAAGATGTGTGGTTAATAAATGCAGAGAGATGATGCAATGCTGGAAAACAAGACAAAGATAAGGGACTAGGCAGGAAAGAGGTGAGAGGTTAGGAAATGCCTCGCTGGAAAGTGACGTTTACAGAAAGACCTGAAGGCAGTCAGGAGACAAGCTCAAGCAGATAGCTCAGAGAAGGGCAGTCCAGGTAAAGGAACAGCAAGAGCAAAGGCCCTGTGGTTGGTATGTGCCCCATGCACTTGGGGACTAAAGAGGAGGCCACTGTGGCTGGAGAAAACTGATCAAAGGAAAAGGAGTTGGTGTCAGCGTGGAGACACAGTGGGGAAAGTCACGAAGGGCTGGAGGTCATGGCCCTGACTCGGGGTTTTATTCTATGGGGCATGAGGAGCCCCATTGGGTGAGTTTCCCAGGGAGCTGACATGATCTGGATGGATGGGGGCAGGGAGGACCAGACAGGAGGAGGCAGAGGCAGGGGCTCACACCCATGTAGGGCAGCAAAGATGGTGAAAAGTTGTCAAATTCTAGGTGAGCTATGAAAGGGAAGCTGCCGGGATGTGCTGCCAGGTTGGCTGTGCAGGCGAGAAAGGGAGGCAGGCGTTTGGCCTGAGTGCTGGAAGGTAGGAACAGTTGCAGGAGCTGGCATGTGGGGAGATGCTTGAGATACCTGCCTGAGAGCCCAGGGAGGTGTGGAGCAGGAAACTGCAAATCTGAGGGCTGAGTCTGGAGTCAGAGAGGCAGCTGGTGGATATAGATGGATAGTGTTTGGTGCTCAGATGATGCCAGAGTGTCCCCAGGGCCTTGTGGGAGCAGAGAAAAGAAAGCACATGAGGCCTCCAGAGTGTCCCTTTCAGCAGAGGAGGGAGAACCAGGTGAAGAGGCGAGGCCAAGAGAAGAACATGTTTCCAGAGGACTTGGGGATCAGCTAGAAGCAGCCATCAATCTGCCCTGCAAGATGGAGCCACATGGAGGTCACGAGCGACCTTGACAAAAGCAGTGTTGTCTTGATGGCCCTGGGATCACTGAGCTGTTTGCTGCCCTTGGGAGGAGTAGAGGAAAGGTACGAGGAAAGGTACGAGGGCCAGTGACTTGGACCATGAAGAAGGGAGTAGGAACTTTCTGGCAAACAGAGAGGCAGGTGTTCCAGGCCGGGGACACTGAGTGCAAAGGTCAGCAGTGAGGTCAGAGATCACACAGCCTCAGGTCATGCTAGCCTGGTGGGCCAGGTGGGGCATTTCCATGAGAGTCTGAGCTGAAAGGTAGTAAAGACAGGACTGGGGCCCAGGACCACAGGGACCAGCCCTCGGCGGTGGACAGCAGCACCCACTTCTGTCCAGCCACTCTCTCTTTCCATACCAGGCCTTGGGGTGGCCAGGGGCGAAGAAGAAGTCCCAGCTGGGGCATCCTTGGAGAAACAGGCCCCAAGGGACCCAGACACTGTCTCAAGGTCACCCAGTGAACCAGAGTAGCTTGCAGTGAGTCATCCGCCATCCTGTCCCAGTGTCCTGCAGACAGGGTGGTGACCAGGCCAAAGCCACCCCCAGAGTGAGCCAGCTACCAGCTGCTGCCTCCAGTGCCGGGACAAAGAAGCTTCTATGTCTCGGCCTCTGCCACCCCTGCCCCCACTGAAGCAGCCACAGGCAGCAGCCACCTGCCCATGAAGAGCCAATCCTTCTCCCTACCCCCACCCCTCAACTCGAGGGCAGGCTCCTCTCCGAAAGTAATACCTCCTGCTACCTCCTGCTTGCTGCATCGTTCAGGTCATTTGACAGGTGACAAGACTGAGGCTCCGAGCGGGGCTGGTATTTAAAGTGCTAACTCGCGTCCCACCAGGAGCTCTGGCTGTGTCTCGGGGGCTCCACCGGCCTCAGCCCACTGGCGGGTTGTAGTGCAGCGGATACTCAGTATTAACATCCCATTCCCAGATCTGATGCAAAGGCCCCGTGTCACCAGGAACAACCCTGGATGGTCTGCGAGTCTGCGGCCACTCCCCGAGGCCCTGGCCCCCCCACCCCCACCCCCACGTCCCGTGGGCAGTCCTCTTCCTAGTCTCATTTCCCCTCTGGGAAATCAGGACATGGCAGGGCCCATCACTCTGGTCAAGAAGTGCGAGAACACGCTTTTTAAAAATAGACTTTATTTTTCAGAACCGTTTTTTACATTTTGAGCAAATGAGCAGAAAGTACAAAGAATTTCCCTATATGTCCCTGCCCCCAGTTTCCTCTATTATTAACATCTTATGTCTGCGTTAGTGTCACACGGTGGTTACAGTGAATGTGCTAAGGATACATTATTGTGAACTCAAGTCCAGCGGTGGTTCAGCTTTCCTCTGTTTTACCCAGTGTCCCTTCCTCGTTCCTGGGACACCGCCCCCTATTCCGTTCCCAGATCCCCTGATTCCACACACATTTTGTGTCACGTCCCTGTGGGTTCCTCTTGGCTGTGCCGGTTTTGCACACTCTGGTTTTTGGTGACAGTCGTTTTAGGGCCTGCCAGTGTTTCACAGGATAACCCTCTGTTGACACTTGTCTGGTGTTTTCTTCCACTGGGTTATGTGTTCTGGGAAGAGCTCAGAGCTAAGGGGGCCATTTTGACCCCCTCTTAGGGAGGCAGGTGTGTGCTACCAACAGAACGTATCAGTGTGATGTTGACCTTGACCCCTGGCCAGGTAGGGTTTGTCCCCGAGTAACTCCCGATGATGCACCTTTTAACTCAGGCGTCAGAGCCCCGGGAAGTGCTACAGCAGGAAGTGCTCCCGTGCTAACCTTTCTCACAAACTTTGTTTCTGTGATACTATTATTGTCACCTAGTCATCTGAAAGGATTATATGCTTAGGACGATGAAGGAGATCAGATACGAAACCAACTCAGGCTTGGCCTTGGTACAATTTAGGGATTAAAAGAGATAAAACATTTAAGGGGCTGGCACAGGGCCTGGTCCCTATAAGTGCTCAATAAATGTCAAGTAAATAAATAAGTAAACAGCTGACTCTGTCTTCACGCGGAGGAAGTGAGGGCACGTGTGTGCTCACAGGCCACATATGAACCTCATGGCAGTTTGGGTCACAACAGCCGGGACACCCAGCACCAGCTGAAGGGACGCCCAGTGGTGTATCTGGACAGTGGACTGTTCCTGGGGTACAGAGGATGGACAACTGGGGCGACTGTGGAGGCCTCTAGAAGCACAATGCTAGCAAAGGAAGCTGGGCTCAGAAAGAACATAAGCCACATGCATCCATCTATAGAATGTTCTCGAACAGGCCACCCCAATCTGAGATGCTGGGAAGCAGATAGTGGTTGCACGGGGCAGGGTTGGGGAGGAAGTGGGGGCAGGAGGTAGCCTGCTGGGGCTCCCTTCTCGGGAAGGCAGCGTGTGGAGGCATCGCTGGCGCTGTGAGGACCAGGCCTCAGGTGGGCCTCATGCAAGTAAAGCTGCTGTGGCCCAGAATGGGCAGTATGGTGCTGAGGACCCCCAACTCTGGACCTAGCTGCACCTTAGCTCCTGGTCACGGCCTCCTTGTGGAGACAAGGCAGCGTGTACACAGCATCCTGGAGTATGCACACAGAGGTTAAGTAACACACTGAGTGTCACACAGCTAGTGAGAAGCGGCAGCTGGAATTTGAGTCCAGATCCAAGTTTTTAAGCTCTGTATTATACTGATCCCTCAAGTGAGCTTGTGTTGGGGCCTCTGAGAGGCCCCCAGTCCTCTTCAGAACAAATTGAGAGCAAACACAATGAAAGGATGCTGGAGAGCAAATCCCCAGTTTATTGTCGGTGAAAGCGAGGTCGGGAGGGCACGCGGCTCTCTCTGCACTAAGGCACTTCCCGACACCAGGCCCCAGCAGGACATTCCCATCTTGTCACCGGCAGCCCTGGAGCACAGTGGGCTTCCCTGTGGGGGCAGTACGGGCTCTGAGAGGAAGGGACACTCAGCTCCGAGTAGAAAAGCAACAGGCTGGCCTGAGCATGCCCATTGTATTCTCTTGAGACTCATGGTGCAAATGAGTCCTGCATCTCCTGGAGCAAAGCAAGTAGAGGGACAGAACGAGGCTGAGCCCATTCCTAAGGCCCCATTCAGGGGAGGAGACGTGCCCCACGCGGGGACACCCTCCCTGCTAATGATGAATGAATGAGCAAGCACGGAGTGAATGGCCGCCTGACTCCCTGATGCAAGGTGGGAGCTGGACAGGAGGTCCCTCTGTGTGTCCCCCACCCCCGCTCACCTCCTCCTCTCCAGTTGCAGGGGCTCTCATTGCTGACTTCCTGTCTGGCCTGGTGCACTGGGGAGCCGACACGTGGGGCTCCGTGGAGCTGCCCATCGTGGGGAAGGTGCGTATGTGGACCCAACCCATTACCCTTCTCTCCCGGCCTGTCTCCCTCTCCGAAAGACGCGAACTGTCAGTCCTGCCAAAGCCCCACACACCACTCTGGGACTAGAACAGCGGTCCCCTGCGGGTGCTAGAAGCAAAACCACCAAGCATGGGACAGCCAGAGAGATTTGAGAGGTGCCCACCTCCTTGGAACCCCTTGAATTGGGGGCTACATCTTGTTCTCCTCTGCCTGCCCTGCTGCACCTTGACCTTCAAATGATTTAACTAAACGTCACCTTGTATCATCTTGGGTTGTAATAGAAAATCTACTGCACACTGGCTTAAGGTTGGATCCCAATACAGAGGTACTAACTGCTGTTACTGAACATTTCAGAATAGAGACACTTAAGACCTGGCCGGGTCCGCCCAGACGTTAGACCACCTCCACCAGGCTTGGCCTCTCCGCTGTCTCTCTGTTGGCGTCTCGCTTATATAGGCCGCCTGCTGAGCTGGTGGAGCTGGATCCCAGCTCTCTGGACCCCGTCCTCCCCAGTGGTAGGAGGACACCCCTCTCCCACATGCCAGCCAGGCCATGGCTCGCACCCTCTGGCTCAGCTGGGTCTCATGTGCATCCCTCAGCCAGTCAGTGGGATGGAGCAGGGGGGCGTAGTCTGTTTGTCCAGGTCAGGGTCCTGATACCTAGCTTAACTCAGGTGTGGTGGTATCAGCCCCTCTGGAAACAGCCTATACTAAGAGGGAAAGATTGTTACTAGGCAGGGGCTTGGATAATACAGCCAAGCAGCTGAGGGTCCTGTCTGTTACCATGAGGAACCTCTTCTGCTGTCTTGGGGTAAAGGCAGAGATGGTCTCCAAACCCCCTCCAGCCCAGGTGGCAAGGCTGAGACCCATAGGAAGGTAGTGCCGGCCTGAGGTCTCAGCCAGGTCATTTCCACCTATCCTTGGGCTGTAGCTGCTAGACTAGATGCTGGAGCCTGGGTTTATACGTGGAATATTCCAGCACCCCAAAGGCAGGGAGATGGGCCTGCACAAGGTTGTGGAGAGCTGCTGAGCATCATGGACTGACTGGCCATCGTACCTCCCTCCCTGCCCCCCAGGCTTTCATCCGGCCATTCCGGGAGCATCACATCGACCCCACAGCCATTACGCGACACGACTTCATTGAGACCAACGGGGACAATTGCCTGGTGACTCTGCTGCCACTGCTAAACATGGCCTACAAGTTCCGCACCCAGACCCCTGGTGAGCGTGTGTGCCCCGATGGCAGGGATCTGCCAGACGCAGACACCCCCCACCACCTTGCGCCTCCTGTGGTGTGAGTGCGTGTGTGTCCCTCCAGGATACTACAAAAAAATGTTAGCTCTCTTCATGCAAAATTAGGATATTTGACATAAAGGCCTGTGTTTCCAGCTTCTCTTGAACAATCCAATCTGGCCATCCTGGGTCTTTATTCCCACCTGGCTTCACTGGATCAGAGCTGAGCTGAGCGTGGCTGCCACCGTTAGACAGGACGCAAGCTCTCTAGTGTACCGCAGTCCTCACTACTACTTACTTACTACCCTACACCTGGCCAACCTTGCTCATGTGCATTGCCTGCCCAGGGGGATGTCTGAGCCCACCGGAGTCTCTCTGGGATGTTGGCAGGAGGCCCGGGTACCGTCCTGAGACGAGAGCTGGCCACAGGCGAGTGGTGAGGGCTAGACTGGTGGCAGCCTCCACCCCGCGTGACAGCTGTGGACACCCTCTCCCCACCCTGCAGAAGCCTTGGAGCAGCTGTATCCCTGGGAGTGCTTTGTCTTCTGCCTGATCATCTTCGGCACGTTCACCAACCAGATCCACAAGTGGTCGCACACATACTTCGGGCTGCCACGCTGGGTCACACTCCTGCAGGACTGGCACATCATCCTGCCTCGTAAACACCACCGCATCCACCACGTCTCACCCCACGAGACCTACTTCTGCATCACCACAGGTGCGGCTCTGGGGCAGCCTGGGAGGGCCCACCCAGCAGCTGCTCCTGTCAGGGTTGGGGGGGCAGAGGTCACAGCGGGACAGGCACACACGTTTATCGAACCCCACCACAGACCAGCATCTTCCAGGTCTGAGGACACAGCAGCTCTGCTGCTCAGCGCTGGCATTCTAGTTGCGGGGGAACCCACACAGAACAGGGAAGTGGTGAGTCAGCGGGAATGGCTGCTGGTTATCAGAAAGGCCATAAAGAAATAAAAGCAAAGTGACAGGCATGGAGTTCTGCTTAAGTTGTGGTCAGGGGAGGTTCCCCGGAAGAGGTAGCATTTGAGCTGAGTGATAAGAACCACTGCCAACATGCCTGGCATCCAGTCAGCACCCAGGAAGAAAGGGAATGAGTCAAGGGATGGAGGCATGTCAGAGCCGCCCCCAAGCCATTGGTGGGAGGCCCCAAACCCCAGATTCCCCAGTCAGTCCTTGTCCCCACCCTCTATAGACTCACACACACACACACACACATATTGTGGGCGCCAGGGACGCCCAGTTCCCTCCCTACTTCCCCTTGACTGCTGCTCTTTCAACCTCCCTGCTCTGTTTCCGCTGCAGGCTGGCTCAACTACCCTCTGGAGAAGATGGGCTTCTGGCGACGGCTGGAGGACCTCATCCAGGGCCTGACGGGAGAGAAGCCTCGGGCGGATGACATGAAATGGGCCCAGAAGATCAAATAACTCCTCCAAGCCTGTCACCTTATTGCCAACCTTCCCCGGTCCCCCTCCCAAACCGAAGCCATCTGCCAAATTCCAGCCTCCTCGCTGGCCCCTCCGAGTGGAGAGGATGCCTCCTGGGCTGGGCCCGGGCACCCCTAGCCCACCCCTCGTGACACAGAATACTTGAGCCACTGATTTTTCATTTCCTTCCTTTTCTGTTTCCTTGGCCCCTGCCCAGCCACCTGAGCTGCTCTGTCTACCAAGCCTGACTCTGCAGAAAAAGGAGCCCCATCTGCCAGCCACCCCTTGGTCAGAGGGGACACTCACCCACAACCTGTGTCACCAGGCAGCCCTTCAGCATGGCTGGTGTTGGGGCCACTGAGTCGTCTTATCTGCCCCTCCTTGTCTGGCCCAAGTTGGTCTTGGAGCTGCTAAGTACACCCCAGTGCCCCTGTACCATTGCCCTGCCACAGCACTCAAGCTGACCCCGCAGGCCTGGGTGGGTGGGCATCCCCAGCCTGCCTACCCTGGGTGATGAAGTGCAGCCAGCATCTAAGGGCAGCCGGCCTTCCCCTGGATCACCCTCCCTTGCCCCTCCCCCAGCTGTCCATGATTCCAGCTAGAGCTGATGCCTCTAACGGGAGCCCCTGCAAAGGGTCTTTGCAATTTGCAAGGGGACTCATTGTCCCCTCTGGCCAGGGGTATGTCAGAGAAGGAAGAGGGGCTTTTTTGTTTTGACTGGTTTTTTTTTTTAAAGGTGCTTGCTTGTTTAATGTAAATAATAGAAAGCCTTAATATCTTTTCTGTAACACGGAGTAATATTTTAATGTCATGTTTTGGATGTACATAATATATTTATAACAAAGCAGCAAGAGTCTACTTAACCTTGGCTGCGTGGTGTTTCCTGGCTGGTTGGCTGGGGGAGGGGTGGTAAGGAGCCTGGTGGGTGAGGCCCCCACTCCACTCCCAACGCCCCCTCCAGCCTTGGGCTCAGGATGGAATTGTTGCCTGAGACAGTGAATAAATGTTAACAAATCGTGGAGGGGATCCACGATTTGATGAGGCATGCTTTTCGTTCAGGAGATCATGGTCATGAGACATGAAGGGAGATCCCTATTGGTGAATTCCTGTAGCAAGTATTGACTGGCACCTGCTGTAGGCCAGGCCTCACCTGGACACTAGGGCACAGCAGTGAACAAACAGGCAAAGATTAACCCTGGCAGAGCTGACCTACCAGGGAAAGAGACAATAAATATCAATAAATGCACATGGACCTGCAGATGCTGATTTGTAAAGGATGGAACCACACCGGGGAAGCAGGGTGGGCTGCTTGGGCAGGGTGGTCAGGGAGGTCCTCTCTGAGGTGGTGACATTTGAGCTGAGATCTGGAGGAGGAGATGGAGCTGCTGGGGAAGGAAATGAAGGAATAGGACTCCTGCAGGGACAGCAAGTGCAAAGGCCCTGGGGCAGAAACAAGCATGGGGTTTTTAAGAGACAGGTAGCTAGTGTGACTGGACTCGAGTAGGCAAGGGAAAGTAGAATATGATGTTGGGGAAAAAAGGGTCTAGTTACAGAATCACAGGCTGAGGCAAGTGGGCAGGCATTGGACAGTACAGACAAATGAGTATCTTGTTCATTTATTCAATTATAAGGCAGATATCTGTGTGCCAGACACTGGGATTCAATAGTGAATACTACAGACATTACAACTGATACTTAGTCTGGGCTACATAGTTTCTACAATATTAGCCAGAAAACAAGAAGAAAGCCTCCTGGGAACAAAGAAAGGATAAGAGTCTTTAGTCATACAGCATTTAAAACTGACATATAACTTCATTTCCTTAAAGTTTGCCCATCACTAGACTTTTGAAGAAGTATTAGAATTTATCAACTCAAATGACAGAAAACTGTAACTTATGCAGAAATTAATAGATAAAACAGTTGTATTAGTTCACATAACTGAAAAGTTCAGAAGTGGTTCGGACAAGGTTTGCCAGCACCCTAGGGCTCGCAAGATTCATCGGTCTCTGGCTAGCTCTGAAATGGCGCTGGCTAGCTAGCTCAGCAATTCCAATGGAAACTCCACTTTCCAAGAGTTGCAGCAAAAGCTCCTTGCTCTCATTGCTTTGGATTGGGTCATGTGTGAACCAATCACCTTGCAGGATTAATGAAGGGAAGAGTTCTGATCGTCTACCTGGAGTTGCAGGCCTAGGTCAGCCAACAGGATAATAGGTAGGAAGGAGGGTTCCCAAAAGAGAACTGAAGCCGTGGTGGGGCACTCTTCACAGTGGCCACAAGAACAGCCTTGAGACTATAGTCTCTGGTTTCCTGGGACTGGGCCCTGCTGGGGCCCAGCAAACTGTGTTAATTCCCCTGGAGCCAGCAAAAAAACAATAGCCTGAATCTAGAGGTGAAGTGACTTGCCCAAGTTCCCACAGCTAGTAAGATTCAGACCATCTGACATTCAGACCATCTTGCTGCTCCTGCATTCCAGGGTGGGTGAAAAAATCCTTTTCAAAACCAGAAGAAAGAAATGTGTCAGGTCTGGGAATGTTGGGCCATTTCTGAGATGGGGTGTTTCAAGAAAATGCAAACATGCAGGGGGAAATCTATCAAACACCAAGTGCCGGCTCCATGTATCAGATCTCCATCTCTGAGTACACTCAGTCCCATTTGCAGACGGGAATACTGAGGCACAGAGGGCCTATAACATGCCCAAGATCAAACAGCTGGTAGGTGACAGGAAGATGAGGAAGCAGGCGGCCAGTGAGAAACAGGTCCCTGCTGAGAAAACAGCAACAACAGGATGAGAAACAGCAGTTGACATTGGGGACTGGGACCCTGGAGACATCGGGCCCCAAAGACATCAGCTGATTAAAGAGGAGCCAGAAATCCAGATATTCCATGCTGGCTCTAGGTATACAGGCCAGCTTCTGCCCAAGACTTCCCAGCAGTTTCAGGATGGCCCAGATTTAGGTGGATTTGGGGCCTCCCCGGTGGCGCAGCGGTTGAGCGCTGGGTTGCGAAGCTGCCTGCAGCCTCTGCAGCCGGTTCGATCCCCGGCTGCTCCCCGGCCATCGGAGGAGGGTCCCACATGGCGTGCAGACCTCTCCTGCCGCCCGCTGCTCCCCTCAGCAGTGTACTTCGGTCCTTCTGCCTGCTCTGCTCCCCGCTCTGGCCCTGGTGAATTCTCTCACCCTCCCACGCTTCTGACTGTACCCAGTGCATATATAAACCAAACAAACAAATAATAAATAAATAAATAAATAAGACATGCCTCTAGAAAAATTTAAAAAAAAAAAAAAAAAAAAAAAAAAAAAAAAAAAAAAAAAAAAAGATTTAGGTGGATTTGTGCTGCTATCTGGTGGCAGAGCAGAGCAGCTGGCAGTGGCAGGCAGATAAACTGGGTTTCCAGCCCCACTGTGCTCAGGTAGGACACTTGCCCCCAGCTTTTAACCCCACCGCACTTGTGAAAACTAAACATTTCAAGCTACCACGTTAAACATTGTATAATAGGTAACATGCTTACAGTAAAGATTAAGAATCAAATGCTACGAAACAGCCAATTCAATCTGTTTATCTATGAATGACCCACAAGCATTTTTTTTTTTAATGGTTGGAGGAAAAAAGATTATCTCCTAACACAATAAATTCAAACTTCGGTGTATTTTTCGATGGCACACAGCCACGCCCGTTCATGTGCTTATTATTGCTCATGGCTGCTTTATCAACACAGTGGTGGAGCTGATAGATCAAATGACCCACACCGCCTTAAATATTTATAATCAGACCCTTTATGGAAAAAAAATGTAGGGCTTCCCTGGTGGCACAGGGGTTAAAGTCTCAGCCCTATCAGCCAGGGTGGCATGAGTTTGATCCCCAGCCAGGGAACTGACCCGTATGGCACAGCAGACGTCTCCTGTCTTGCCCCCTGCTCCCCTCAGCAGTGTATTTCAGTAGCTCTGCCTGTTCTGCTCCCCACTCTGTCTCTGATGAATCCTCACTCCCCCCTGCCCCACCCGCCTCTAGCCTACACCCCAGTTCTTGTATGCATAAATAAATTTTAAAAATAATTACTGACTCCTGGTCTAAAGTGAAGAGACAATTGCTCCCCACTCATGTTCCCCAAAGCCCTCAGTTCCCAGAGGCCATGACTAAGCCCCTTGCAAGTCCCTGATGCAGGCAGAGGCCTGGCTGTCCCCTGCTGTCCCACGGAAGGTAAAACAACACACACTGACCTCTGCACTTTGCCTTTTTCCTCTTCTGTATTTTGAGAGTGTCATAACAATGCTCAGAAAGCTCCCTTATTTTTTTACAGCTGTGTAGCATTTCAACTCCAGGACAGACCTTTTTTAACTCAGTCTCTCATTGGATGTTGGGGTTGTATTCAGTCTTGTGTAATGCAATCTGTTGTGAAGTGTGCATTTATGTCCATTTGCTCTTAAGGCCAAAAGACACGAAAGGTCAGTTCCTAGGGGTGGAACTGCTGGGTGAAGGGTGTTTATGCATTACATTCTGACAGCTCACGCCAGGCAGCCTTGCACCGAGGCTGGGCCCATTTAGACTCCTGCAACTTTGGAGCCAGCCTGATTACCCACACCCTTGCCAACAAGGTGTGTTAGCCAGTATTTTGTTCTTTGCCAATCTGATAGGTGGTTTTAATTTGCATTTCTCTTACAGTATTTCACTGAATCTAAGATGTGATTGATAGTAAGAGGCAACCCAGTTTCAGAGGTTTTTGAATGTAAAACTTTGCATCTGAGAATCACTGGAATCCAATGTTACATACTGGGCAGCTAGTCCTATTTCCTTACTCTGTACATGGTCTTTTCCTATTTTTCTTGAGAAAGAGCGTAGCAGTGATTAAGAGCCTGGGATTCAAATCCCAGCTTTGTCACGTAAGTTTGTGACTTTTGGCAAGTTACTAAACCTTTCTGTTCTAAGACTTCTTATCTAAAAGATAGGGCTGATGACCAGCCATGAAGGGGAGTCATAAAAACTAATGCACTATGCAAAACTCTGTTCCTGGACCACAGTAAATGCTCCATAAGTGTTGGTTATGATTCTCATATTTCTTTTGAGTGGTTTATCTTCTTTTCTTAATGAGTTGCAATGCTCTTTTTAAAACCTTTTTCCAGGGCCTCCTTGGTGACACAGGGGATTAAGCACCTTACCATGAAGCAATCCTCAGCCTCTGCAGCACAAGTTCAATTACTGGCTGGCCAAGGAGAAACCCACATGGCGAGGCAGACCTCTCCTGTCTCGCCCGCTGCTCCCCTCAGCAGTGTATTTCAGTAAGTCTGCCTGTTCTGTTCCCCACTCTGTCTCTGGTGGATCCTCTCACACTCCACATCTCTGGCCTGCACGCCAGTTCTTGTATGCATAAAAATAAATAAATCATTAAAAAAAAAAAAAAAGCAGCAGTCCTCTGCCCACCTGTGACTATGCAGGTGCTTCTTTTCACCAACTTGCTCCCTCCACCGGGCAGCAGCCTTCCTGCCTGCCGGTGACCTGTACCATGCCTGGACTTCTCTTCATTGATCTCTCTCAGTAGGGGCAGCTCTCCTCAAGGCCGCCCACCTGCAACCACTCAGGACTCTCAGCAAACCTGTCCCCTTCCGGGCAGCTCTTTCTGCCTGCTTGTGTCTATGCAAGTGTACTTTACTCTTCTGTCCCTTTTTCTTATAAACCTACTCTTTCAAATACAAAAAAAATTTTTTTTCCATTTATTTTTACTTTATTTGGATTGCTTTTGTTCAAACAACTGTATATGACTGTTTACACCACTGTATATGACTTAGGGGTACAGATTCACACCTCTTCAGCTGTGTAAATCACACCTAGCACCAAAGGCCCCATCATTCTCCCCCATAGTCCACTGGGTCCCCTCCCCACCAACACTCTATAAATTAAGGAAGCTCATTCTTTTTGTTTTCCAACCAATTCCAGTCTCCTGGCTTTCTTTTTACTGACTAAATGAAACAAAATGATACAAAAGTAATAGGTGATATAAAAGGTAACAGATGCTACACAATCCAGACATCACAGAAATAATTGTATGGAAGAAGCCAATGGAAACAACCGAGATGAACCATTAGTGAAGAAGTAAATCAATGACACCTTGACCCCCCATCCACCCACTCCCTTCCCTATTTGGTTTGATACAACTGCATCAAACATTATATATATATATATATATACACACACACATACACATATATATACACACATATATATACATACATACATACATATAAAGAGAGAGGTAATCTTGGTTTATAACACAGTATATGACTTAATATACTCTTAATGCTATGCTACAGGCACACTTGAGGGAGATGAGACTCCATGTCTGTGCCATAAAATGGCACTAGCAAGTGAGTCACACACCCTATGGACCACAGACCCCTTCCCAGGGATTCTGCTTTCAGTCTTCTGGGTGACTGTGACACTTCCTGTCAACAATAAGACAGTTTTACTTTCTGTAGTTTGTATTATAAAAGCTTTACATGAGGTTGGGAGTTTTCTTAGCTATAAATTAGAAATAAAAATACATAATTATATAATGTAATCCACAACCTTGCTGCTCCAAGTGTGGTTTGTGGATCCAAATTTGCATACCTAGGAGTTTTAGAAATGCAAAATCTCAGGATTCCCCCACGCCCCTGGAATCAGAATCAGCACTGTTAAGAATTTGTGTGCATGTTAGATATAAGTATTGCTGTAAAATTAATATTGCAGATTTTATAAAGCATTGCATTTTTCACATTTCAAATATACTTTTTGGAAACTACTCATGCCTTTCACATCCCAGCGATCCCAAGACTGCAGGGGTAGCTTCCCTTCATGCTGAGAACAGAGTTTTTGAATGAAGGCTGTAGAACAGTTCGCAGCTATGTCTCAAATGGAGCACTGCACCACCTTCCTGTATCTATTAGGTATGCTTTTGGCTATAGATAACAAAAACCTACCTTTAAGTACAACTTAAGCAATAAAAAAGCTTATTATCTCAAGTCTTAAGACACCTATAAGTAAGCAGCCCCCAGAATTAGTTCAGCAGTTCAATCAAATCATTGAAGTCCTAGCTCTTTCCATCTCTGTGCTCACATCTTCATTGTGCTTTTTGGCCTCACACCTGTGCCTCATGGTCTCATGATTGCCACCGTTCCAGCCATCGCAGCCTCATATTACAGGAAGGAAGAAAGGGGGCAAAAAAGGCTTTCTCCCCAACGATAGTCGGGAGATGGAAACTTTCCAAACAAACCCCCTCCCTGACTCACTGATCAGAAGAAACTAGGTTACAGGCACACCAGTGGGCCAACTACCGGCAACAGGAAATGGCAATGCTTGTGATTAGCTTGGGTTCGCACCTGGAGCAGGAAGCTCTGCCTCCTGAATAAAAACAGGCTTTTGTTAGCACAGCAAACCGTCGTGACCGGACAGGCAGTCACGATGCAGACACTCTTTGGCGGCAAGGTCTCCAATCTTGCAGCCGCCGAATTCTGTCTCCTCGAGGCAGCATTTGTAAAAATGCAAGCCTTTCCACGTTTTGCTTAATCCCTCCCAGGCACTACCCACTTCACCCCACAGGAAAGAGCAGGTGCCCCAAAGTTAAGGGAACTGGTTTCCAAACCTGCTTTTATACCTCCCTTGCTGTGTGACCCTGGGAAAGTTATCTAACTCTTCTGTTTCCTTATCTGACACATGGAGTCGATAATATGCAGTCACTGAGGGCCAAATAATAAAAGCGAATACTTACACAGCGTTCACTCTGTGCCAAGCCCTTTTCTAAAATCTCTGGTTGTATTAACCATTTTAATCTTCCCAACAATCCGATAAAACAAGAATCTCTTACTCCCACCCGTTGAAGCTACCACTTCGAGCGCCGAGCGGAATTGGGACTTGTCATATCCGGAGAGGTGGGGCCGAGCCTTTGCTGGGGAAGCAGAGCGCGGGCAGGACTACAACTCCCAGCAGGCAACGCGGCTAGACTACAATAACCGGCATGCCCCGGGCTGCCCCATTATCCTTTCTCCTGAGATCTGCTCTGTTCAGGAATTCGCTTTATTGTCAGTTTTGCTTGTCAGGAATTCCCTACGAGAACCAAGGGACCTACGCTAGGGACATTCCCTGAGGGTTGCCACCTCGAGTTGTTATGAGGATTAAAAACTGGTGATGCCTTGGTGAATGTCAGCTTTTCTAGTGTCTCCTCCTCCCTCTGTGCCAAAGGGTTTTACCAAAGGGTTGCATCTCTATAGTAACCCCGTGAGGTTGACACTGTCACCTCTCTTTTCACGAGGGGTCTGACTGATGCCAGGAAAGATTCAAGTCTTTGAAGTTATACAGCAAAGTGAATGGTGAAGGAGCCTTAAACCCAGAGAATTTTCACTCCAGAGATGGGTCCTTGGAAACCTAAATGCTTCCCACTTGTTAGCTCAACTTTACAGTAACCTAGAATCCAGAGCAAAGATTTTCTGTGATCTTCAAGGCACATCTGAATTACGTGCCAATGGTAGGAAGGAGATGTATGTGGAACTCTGAGAGTCAATTATAGCTGAATTTGGACTGATTGATGAAATCAGGGAAGGCTTCCATAATTTCCATAACAGGCAAAGGTCCTGAGGATAGAGAGCACGTGTGCTTCAGAGGCCTTAAAGATCTGTAGAGGTGCAGCAAATCGCAGAGGTACAGGCAGTGTGTGTGTGGGGGGGGGGGGCAAAGAGAGAAGCCAGGAGCCCAATGTGCAAATTCTAAGGAGACCTAACTCACAGGACAGTGCAAGTGCTGAGCCTCCTTCAATTTGATGTTCTAGACATCTCACTGACTCTATACCTGTTCTAGGTGAAGGGCCTTGAGGCTAGGGTGGCCATCAATTCTGGTTTGCCCTGGACAATCTTGGTGTTTGCTGTTGTCCCACAAAATTATACTGTTGTTCCCCTTTCAGTCTGATGATTGCCCTTTCTTGGATATTTCTGTGGCTGTTCAGAGTCTGTATTTTATCCTAAAAGAATGGGGAGCCAGTGAGTTTGAGCTGAGGTGTATTTTGAGGAGATATGGAGCATGGAGGGAATGCGATGGAAAGGGGCAAGAATGGAGGCTGCTGGGGTCATCCAACTGAGAAACAAGGAGCAGCCTACCCAGAGTGGGAGAAATGGATAGAGCTGAGATGCTTAGGAGGCACTGCCCTCAGAACAAGGTGATGAATTGGATGTGCTGGATGAGGGCTTCCAGCTTCCTTGTTCCCTGGTAATGAATGTCCTGTTTATTCCTCTGCAAGTGTTAGGTGAAGTACCTGAGACAGTACCTTACCTTTCTCAGGCTGTTTCCACATCCACATAAGGGACCCTCAGCCTATTGATGATAAAGGACAGTTGCTTCTTAGAGTTAACATATATCTGAAAAGCATGCCCCCAGGGCTTTTGCACATGCTGTTCTACTACCTCCTTCTCATCACTTTCAGGTCTCCACTGAAATATGATCACCTGGAATCTCCCTGGTGATCCCTGCAGCCACTGCAACAGGAGTTCAATCCCAGGCCAGGGAGCTACCCACATGGCACAGCAGACCTCTCCTGACTAGCCCTGCTCCCCTCAGCAGAGTATTTCAGTAGATCTGCCTGTTCTGTTCCCCACTTTGTCTCTGGTGAATCCTCTCACCCATCACGCCTCTGGCCTGTACACCAGTTCTTGTATGCATAAGTAAATAAATCTTTAAAAAAATATATGATCACCTTAGCAGTTCCTTCCTGAGCATCCCCTGCTACCCCTTCCCTGGTTTATTCCCTGTCCTGTCTTAGATATGTTCTTTCCTATTTGTTTACTTGCTTTCTGCCTTGGACTAGAACGTAAGCCCATATGAGCAGACACTTGCTTTTTCAGGAATGTATATTTATCCCCAGCTCCTAGCACAGCACAATGCACATAATAGGTGCTTACTATTTGGATGATTGAATTAATGAATAAGTGCTTTCCCTAGCACCAAAATGCCCTCCAAGTCATTTATCTGTCCTCCAAGCCTCTTCTGGCCAGGGAGCATTGGCCCTGGAAGCAAGACATCTGGCCTGGGTTCACATTCTAGCTCAGCCACTTAACAGCTTCATTTCTCACATTCAGCCCGACCTGGAAGAGATGTCGTGAGGCTCCAACCAACAGGAAAACGTCCGAAGCGAAATAGGTGCTTTTTACTCAGAGCTTCTTTTTTTTCTTTTGCTTTCACAATCGCGCCCTCCTAAGTCTGCTCGCCCCTGCCTTCCTCACCGAGCACCTCAATACCTCCTTCGCACCCGAGCCGGCAGAGGTTTGCAGGTCGCCGGCCCTCGCGCATGCCAATGTTTGCTCTCTCTAAAAAGGAAAGAAAAAAACATTTCCCGCAACGACTCGAGCGGGTCCGCGGGCCGGCGGCAGCGTCTGCGCGTGCGCGTGCGCGCGCGCCTGCGCAGACGGGCCCGGGAGCGGGCGGGGGGTGAAGAAGGGGCCGGCCTTCGCGCGACAGCGACGCAAGATGGCAGCCACCACGGGCTCGGGTGAGCGGGGGCGCCGGGCCCGGCCGGCCGAGGGGGCGCGGGCTCGAGCCGGGGACCGGGGACCCGCAGAGGGCCTTGCAGCGAGACCAGGGCCTCGGCGCCGCCTCTGTCCGCTGGGCCCCGCGGCGGCGACTCGGGCGGCCTGATGGGGGAGGAGGAGCAGGCGGTGGCCGGAAGCACGGGCGGGGGCCGGAGGGGCCTGTGGGCGGCGCGGCGAGGCCCAGAGGCTCCCCGGGGCGGCGTGGGGGCCCGGCTGAGAGGAAGGGTCGGGCCCTGCGGCGCTGCTGAACGGCCGGAGGGGGCGAGGGGCGAGCCCCGAGACACACCTGAAGAGATCGGGGCTGGTGGCTCTTTGGGGGAGATCCGGGAGCCCCCTGGAAGACAGGCGCCCCCAAACGCGGGAAAGCCCTTCTTGGGTGCTGGAGATGCGGGTGGGATGTCCTTTGGGAGGGGACTTAAGAGAAGTTCCTCAGCGTGGATGGGAGAAGGACACAGGATCCAGCAGCGACTGAGGGCAGAGCATCCCCCAGTGGCTAAGGGTACGGCTCCAGCGTTAGTGTTGGGGATGGGTTAACTGAAGAAATCTCTGGATTGATTAGAAAGAAGTTTGGGGGTGGTTGCTTGGGGTGGGAAGGCTAAGGACAGTTCCATGGGATGAAAAGGGGGCAAGGATCTCAGATTCCCCAGGGATCCGGTTGGGGCAGCCGGCAGTGAAATGACCCATCATCATACCAGGTCCCTGTTTGAGAAGACAGATGAATTTCTCGAGGTTAGGTTTTAGGAGAGAAGCTGGAGTGGGACATTTTGTGAAACCCTCCGATGCCGGGTGAAGAACGGATGAATTGGGAATCCTGGAGATGTGTGTCTGGTGGGGCCAGGGAGGGTCAACTAGGGAAGCCCCATGGAGTGGGTCGGAGTTGGAAAAGGTCAGGTTTCAAAGATACTCATTTTAGAGAAGAAAAGACTTCTCTTTATTGGGTGAGGGATGCACACTGGAAGTACCTTTTATGGAGTCTGTCACGCCCATTCTTTTGGATGTGGGGAATGGATGGGCATGGACAGAGGAACAAATGAAGTGGGTACTCTTAGAAGAATAACAAATCCCCACTTCTCTTAGATGGACAAGAGGGAAATGTGGGGGCTACACATTGAGCAGGGGGAAGGTCTTCCAGTCCTCAGAAAATGAGGGAAGCATCACCTGTTTGGAGGTTGGGTTTCCTCAGATGGGGCCAAGGGTGAGATCCTGAAAGGTCCAGAGTTAGCTTTGGGCAGATGCAGATGGCCTTCATGAGGAAGTGAGTGAGCATTGATGAGAAAGATGGGGGTGGGGAAAGGGAGGTTATGAGGTGAGAGTTTGACTCTGGAATTGCAGGCTTTTGGGGGAGAATGTTCCACGTTTGGCGAGGAGGCTATACCCCGAGGTGCCTGGCAGTGAAGTTAGCCAAGGAGGTTCTATCAGATGGAGTGATGATGGGTGGCCTCTGATGGAAGAAACAAACAGGGTCATCATCCTGGGGACTGAAGTCTTCAGACTATTTAAAGCCACCACAGCAGCACTGTTAGGAGAGGTTGGTGACATGAAGGGAACGGGGTCAGGGAATCCATCTTTCCAGGATGTTGCTCCCCTTGGACCCCAAAGAGCCATCTTTGCCTCTCGTTGTTAGGGTGGGGATGGAAGAAGGATCTGGGTGTCTAGTCCTCCCTCAGGCTGCCTTTCCATTTAAAGCAGTGGGGGTCTTCCTGAAGGCTAGAGGAGACTACACATCTTTTTGTAGATTTTGGTTTCAACTGGAACAGCGCTGAGTCAATTTACCAAGATATGTTTATGGGCACTCAGAAGAGAGAGGCTGAGTCAGACCAGACTGCTGGGGGAAACTTCTCACTAGAATAACCCCTGCCAGGTTGCTATGAAGTAGGGGGTACAATGTGCCCGGGGCAGGCAGCATTCTGTAGTATTGCAGCTCAGCTCTGCTTTGCAGTCACTTGAGATAGGCTACCTACAATCCGGTTTAGCAGCTATTTAATTCTAACTTCTTGATGCCCTGCCAATAGAAGAGTGCTTCATAAATGCTGTGGTGGTCAGATAAAATGTGTCAGCTGCTGTGTAGTGTCAAGAACACTTGGTGTGATTTAGGTAACATAGAACAGGCTTTGAGGTATCCTAAAATGGGTTCTTAAAAATCCTTTATTTATTGAGGGCCTGTTATGTCCCAGTGTGGATTGAGAAAATATAGGCATGGCCTCCATTCTAATCAGAGAGAAGACCATTAAATGAGTAAGTCATTAAGATAATTTCAGATAGCAGTAAGTACTATGAAGGAAATTGTCTGTTGGGATAAAGGGTGTCTGGTGAGATGCTTAGAGAAAGCTTCTCTGAGAAGGTGGAATTTGTACTGAGAAAAATGATGGAAGGAGCTGACTGTACAGCTATGTCACAGGCATAGCTGTAAGTGCAATGGCCCTGTTGCAGGACCAAGCTTGGAATGTTAAAAGAACAGCATAAAGGCCTTGTGTGCAAGGGAGGCTTATTAAAGAGATGAGCTGGAGATACATACATGACTTTGGATTTTATTAAGTGTGAAGGGAAGCCATCCAATGAGTGCCTAGTATGAAGTTGGCACTCAGTAAATATTTGTTGAATGAATGAATGAATGAGTCTTAAAAAAGAGGAGAATAACAAGATCTGATCTTTGCCACTGGGCAGTAAAAAGAGTGCAGAGTAGGCCAGAAAGACTTTTTAATTAAACTAAAATGAATATTCAGGCCTGTTTTCTAAGCCAGGGGAGTATTTCAGGTGTAGTCAAGGGCCCTGAGGCCTTCCTTGGGGTTAGAACAAGCCTCTTAATCTGTGCCCCTTGGTTGCCAGGAAACAGCTTCCAAGTTCCTCTGAGGGCTGAACCTAGTTTTTTATGGTCCCTGCTTTCAACACATGGTTACCACACCTTCCCACCTCCCCTAGCTCTGCAGTGTGTGATCTCTGCATAGACCCTAGAGGATGGAACTGTGAGAAGCTCACTAGAAAACCTCAGGGTATCTTTACTCTGTCAGGTGACTTCTTCCATCCTTGACCAAGGTTGCAGGACCTCCATGAGCAGCCCTTGGCTGCCAGGTCCTTCCTCTCACCCGGCGTCTCACAGGCTTTCTTGACGTTAACCAGAAGCCGAGTGCCAGGAGGGTCAGCCTTGGCTAGGCATGGTTTTAAATTTGTGTTCACTGGTGTGGCCTCATGACCCACATCCAACTTAGGAAAATTTAACCGTATGGGCAGCAGAGGGTAAGTAGTCCTCCATTCCATTCTAGGGTGTCCCCCGGAAAGCACTGGAGATGGAAGAAGAGAACCTGCCGACTCTTAGTTGTTCTCATTGCTTTGTGTCTCTTGTGCCAGTGGCAGCTAATTACCTTTTGTACGTGCATTCAGGAGAACCGCCTCACTCAGGGCCCAGTGAAAAACAGCATCTGCTCTGTGATGCCCTCCTCAGGGATTGGCAGAGTTAATTTTGCTGGTCATGATTTCCCTTCCTGTGGCTCTCAAACCCGGTCTTCTCCCCCATGGCCCCTCTCCCCCTCCCTCCATCGCCTGCATTGTGTCTCTCTGTAATTTAATAAAAGTGGAAGACAAGATGTGAAGTTGGGGATCCTGCTGAGTACTGAAAGGCCCCAGGGAAGCGCAGAACAGTGTTTTTGGTGACATGGAGGTTTTAATGCCAGTACTTTTATATTATGTTAGTGCTTTGGCGTTTCCCAGCTCCTTTTATTCTCCACCACCCAGTGAACCAAGCACTGGAGGTGCTGACCCCTAGGATTGGGGGGTGCGGCTGACTGAGGAATAGTGACACCTACACTGGCGCTCAGCACCCTTCCCAACCATCTTGACACCTTAGGCAGGAAGTGCCCTGGAAAGGCCTGCTTCTAAGCAGCTGCTCTTCCGAAGTCTCAGCCTCGGCGCAGTTAGTCTTGGTGCGATAAAGGGCTAAGGGGAAGTCTCTGCCACCTGTAGAGACCACAGTCTCTGTAGCAGACCACAGTCCAGGAGAGTGACTTTCGTTTCTGTGGAAGTTCTTACTTGTATCTTACACTTGATAACTCACACTCGTTGGCTTAGTGGTGCCCTCATGTCATGTACAAAATAGGTCCTTGTCTTACTTGTGAACCTTTCAGACTTCAGGCTGCACTTCTGGGGCTTCCTGTGGCCTAACTGCTGCTAAGGCATGGTCTCACTTCTGCAGCAGCCCTTTGGGCGGGATGTCTGTGGGAAGGTGAGGAAACAGACCTGAGGAGGAGAGCTGACTTGCCTGAGACGCACAGCCAGTGGCTGGCAGGACCAGGACAGTCCTGCTGCAGGTCACGTGCACTTGGCCATATTTTTCTTCTGGCCCTTTGCCAGTTTTCCAGTGCGGCACCCCAAGTGCCTTCAGCCAGTGGTGGATCTCTCCCTTGATTGATTAGCTCCTTCATGGGGAGAGAATACTGAGCGACCAGCAATAGAATTTTTCCTTGTTCTCACATTCACCCCATCACAAGCCCATGGACGTAACCCCAAAGTCATGTCGAATCCTCCTTTTCTCCATCTCCACTGTTGTCATTCTTGCCTAACCCTAATCATCTTTCTCTCACCTGCAACACTCCAAAAGCCTTCTTCTGGTCTTGCCCTTTTCCAACCACGACATACTGTAGATGCTCTACAGATATTTGTTGAATGTTGCAATTAATCCAGCTCTCAGCTTGATGTAGCTAAATTGTAAATTTGATGTATTTGAAGAAACAATGTCTGATAGGGCAGAAACAACCTTGCACCTTGCACAAAGCTCCTGTCCTGATTAGTTGTTATTTATGGAGAGGTTAGCATTGAATTGACTCTGTCCTCTCTTTCCTTAATAGCCCTGACACGCTAACCATGTCTCATTCTTTGTTTCCATCCATGTCTGAGGCAATCCGATCTTTGGCCTTGGTCACTCTAGCAGCAGAGAAATATAGGGTCTTGCATTTTGTCACCAACTGTT